GTCAAATCCCTTCGATGTCCGTGCCCCCCCCCCCCCTCCTAATCCCCTAAGTAAGATTTTGAAGAATTCTCTTTTTTGGCTAGTCAAAGATTTTTTTTTTTTTGAAGAGAGTTGTCAATTTCTTCCTTCTTCCCCCCTTTTCCCCTACTTCAATGCTGCGTGCCTGACATTCATTTTATTTTTTAAAATAGATTTTAAAAATTCCAAATTAATACAACTCGCTATTTATTTATTTTAACCATGCTTTCTCAATGCATTTTTCTAGGACTTCAACAAATGTAAGTATTCTAAAAAGATTTCATGGTTTGTTTAACGAGTATGTATCATTTAATCATAAAATCATTATGATATGATGAATTATTGTTGTTTTATTTATTGAATGCCATGGTATAGCCACCCTCAAAAAACAATATTCACCTCACCCTTCATGCTCAGTGAATATTGTACTCCTCGGGTGACTAAATCAACGTATTGACCTCAAAAAGCAGTAATAATTGTATAATGTTCAGACTTTTATTTCAGTGAAAAGGGAAAAGATAACGAACAATGACCAATCTCATAAATAAGGTAAACAAAATGACTCGTGAACATGACAAAAACACACACCCCTGGAAATATCAGAGGTGGGATCAGGTGCCTAGGTGGAGTAAGCATCCCCTGTTGACTGGTCAAACCAGCCGTGAGTCCTATACATCTACTGATCAGGTATTCAAACTCAAAGTCCATTTAAACAATACAAATTGAGAGCAGGGCAAACACGTACCTCCAAAAACATCAGAGGCGGAATCAGGTCCCATGGAGGAGCAAGCATTCCCTGTCGACCGGTCACACCCGCCGTGTGCTCCTTGTCACGCGCAGTACAGTTAAGGTGCCAAATGGAAATATCGGCGAATTTTTTTAGACAGAAAATACATTCTTTACCAGGATGGGCGATTCTTTTTAGGCCTTTATCATTATCGGACAATGTAATGTGGCTGAAAACTACATGTCGAGGACGTTTATATTTCTTATTTAGATTTGTAACGAAATGTGGCAGTCACCTGATTTTAGCAAATATACCTGCAGTATTGAGGTCATCTATAAATTCCAATATTGCAAGGGCATAACCAAGTTAAAAATCTAAGTTTAGTTTATAATTATTTTTAACACTCTTTGTAGTTTGTGAAAAGTGCTGCGAACCTATATTGATTCTACTATATAACTGCTAAAATTACATTTGTTAGACCGTATGTTGAATATTTTGCTGGTCAACTACATTAAATGTAGACATAATTAATTCATTTGCAAGATTTCATCAGGTTCGCAGCACTTTTCAAATATCTTCATACCTCTTGAGTTTATGTGTAAAAGCTTGTCGTAATTCATCGAGGGTATGCCCTTGCAATATATCGATTTATTACGACCCTTCTATTACCCTTCAATGAATCTACTTACAAATGTACGGCAGTTTCACTTGTCTGGGAATGTACGGGAAGTATATGAATAAAATCATAAAATAGACATCGTATCCAAGTTAATGGCCTCTTATATATCTGCAAATAATATTTTATTTAATTACAAAACACATTTTTATTATATAAAATGTAACTTGATCCGCCTCTCACTGCATCCAAACTGCGTCAAAATTTACGATATGACGTCACATTGACACGTGCATTGCGATCAGTGAATTGTTTACATATTGCTGCGTGGGATTTAACGAACGACAAAAATGCATGCAATAGTTAGTATTGATGTAGTTTAAAGCTCTCCAACAGTTTAAAATAGCAAATCATTTCATTTTGTGGTAATTTGAAGAACATGTATTTTTGTGTGATGTCATAGTAAGTGTAATGGTTTGGGCTGTGGATATCGGCCTGGGTAGCTCAGTCGGTAGAGGACCTGACTAGTGATGCAGGGGTCCCGGGTTCGATTCCCGGTCCAGTCATACATTTTCTTTCCTGTTACAGATTTGGTACCGTTGACCACCCCTGGACTTGCAGGTGAAAGTCCTGCCAGGGGCTAATAAGAACTTGGGTTGTGTCTTCGAGGGCGAAGACAATTTAAGGAGGGAGGAATGTAATGGTTTGGGCCGTGGATATCGGCCTGGGTAGCTCAGTCGGTAGAGCACCTGCCTAGTGATGCAGGGGTCCCCGGTCCAGTCATACATTTTCTCCTTTCCTGTTACATAAGCATTTCCCGTAAAAATTATGCCCCGCCTCCTTATTGCAGCCTTAACTGTGCTGCGTGATCGAGTAAACGGGAAAATCCGTAGACAGTTCAATGTGTAAATAATGGCCTAACAATAAGTATGAAAAACGTCAGTCAGCATTTGACCCATTGATAGATTGTATTTGCTGATAAGGTCAATATATAGACCATAGAACTTGTGAAATGATGACTTCAAACGAGACTGTTGATATTCTTGTTTCATTAACATGATTAACTTGTTGGTTAAAGGCTTGCCTCGTTTTAAATAAAACTTGATCATACGTAGAGCATGTTCTTGCATATCGAATCAACTGGGAGACATAAACCCTATAATTATATATGCATGTGATAAGGGTATATTGCTACATAAGTAAGGGAAGTTGACAATAGAAAAGTTGAAGTCATCACGTTTATAAAGTTTTGCTGTTAGGTTAATTACCATTAACGTCTTTTTCTAGCAAAATATCGAAGTATGAAACAGATGTGTCAGACTCATCCTGTGATGTCTTTTATTTCAAGTTCACTGGGATATATCGAATCGACATATGAGTGGAAGTAACAATTGTTAATTGATAATATATCGTCGATATATCTAAATGTCGAGTTGAAGGCCACAGCAAGCGTTCTCTTCTGCTCATGTAGAATAAATTCTGCTTCATTTAAATACAAAAATATGTCTGCTAATAGCTAGTGAATTTCATAAGCTTAGTAGTCCTTGGACCATTTAATGTTAAGGGAAATTTTAAACCCTGCAGTGACCACTTCTTTAAGTAGTTGCAGAACAATACGTCTGAAGTGTCTCCTTCACAGAAGTTTATATTTTGGTGAAGAGTGAGGATAGGGGGTTAGTTGAACATTTCCTGGACTCTAAAATACATATTTATTTGTAAGGATTTTTATGAAATTTGGAATCCAGTATCGGTATGGATAATCAAACTCACTTCATATCCATAAGACACCAGAAAAAATTCACCAAAGAAGACACACGTGCGCGCCCGACAGAAGCATATGTTCCCTTGTTATAAAATTTACACTGTTCTCTAACTCGTGCCCTGTTTTAGACTAGTTATCTCTGGACGGCGCTTAGTAATGTGATACATATTAACCCTTAATATATAGAACATAAGCGCGTACAGTTTGACTTTAATGTTTAAGAAGTAAATATACATGTATGTATGATTTTGACCGGTCAATTTGTATGGTTACATGTACTTTTATATTAGTGAAATTCGGAATTTATCCAATTGAAAACACTGACCTACATATAAACAAAAACTTACAACAAATTACATATGTATATTAATTGAATTATTTTATTTCTTCTCTGATATATTATTTCAGGGTAGATTTTATTACAGAAGGATTCGTGTCTTTAGCAATATACGGAGACCGTATCACGGTTTTGTTGTGGAAGTAGTAAAAGAATATGCTAGAAACACATGATTAGTAATAGAGTATATTCTGAGATAATTTAAAAAGAAGAATAAATAAATCAGCGCACTTTTTGTGCGCAATAAATAAACACTTTTTTTCAATGGGTGGCACTCTCTTGTCTTCCATCCCAATTTTTTCAGACCAGCGAGCTACAGATCTGCAGCTAGTGCATAATCTGATAACGATCAATTTTTGAACTGAGGCAGACTACTGATAAATAACTAGATATTACACGTATTTCCACAACCTCGTTTAAAGTCAGCATTTCGATCGTAAATTTTACAGTCGTTATAATGATCTTGTTAGCAAATACAACCTACCAATGAGTCGTATTTTGACTGAAATATCATACAAATTTCATACTAATTGTTAGGTCTTTGCAGTGAAACTGCAGGGAATGCTTATTCCTCCTACGTACCTAATCCCACCTCTGGAATGTCCAGATGTCCGTGTTTTATGCCCTTTTCACAAATGGTAATGTATTCAAAAATTGTTTAATACTAAAATGAACTCCCCCAACTTAATCAAATGAGTTTTAAGTATGTTTTTGACAAGACACACTTTTACGTTTCCAAATCTTTTTTTTTCTTTTAAACGAATATTCTCTTACGTTGTTAATCTTTGAAGAATATATTTATTTTTTTATTATTTCTATTTTATTTCATTTTTTATTTTATTTTATTTCATTTATTTATTATTTATTTAATTCTTTATTTATTTATTTATTTATTTATTTATTTATTTATTTATTTATTTATTTATTTATTTTTTGCTTGTCAAGAAATTAATTTCAGGGTTGGAAATTTTTTGATTGGGGTTGACCAGCCTGGAAAAAAGTCCTGGATTCGCGCCTGTAACTGCATGTTAGAGGCCGAGGAAATTCGAGTTGTGTATCAGGAGTTCATTGAACTGAGTCCCTGAAAATGTGGAAGATGTATCACATGCCCAATAATATATGGATCGGTAGGTTAAGTTACTTTCTTTCTAAGTTTGCAAATACTTCAGATTTTTTTTTTCTGGAAATGCTTTATCTCATCAAAAACCGCGAGTTTTCTTTCTGTCAGAACACAGACAAACAAACAAACAACGACAATAACTAAGAAAAATACAATCCAAGAGGGACAAAAAATATACATGAATAATTGATTAACTAATTAAATAAAATTGATTAATATAATAACTTTTGCTCCCTAAATAAGAAAAAAAAAATATGAACAAAAATACATAAAAAATGTTGCTTTAGATTTTAGATACCTCTGCATTATTTTTTTTATGTCTTTTCTCAGGACTTGGTCGATAACAGACATACATAAGTTTGGGAGAACGACCTTTCAACGTCATGACCTATATCCAAATCTTTTATATAAGGAACGCTAGAGGAAATATTATCTATTACTTAATTCTTATCACCGCTAACGCTCAACATGAGATCTTTGATCTGTCTCCTTATATTTGGTAAGACTGATAAAAGTGATAATTATAAGCATTCCATTCAAACATTGAATTATTTAACTTCCATGACATTTTATTTTCTAATTACCTTAAGCATAAAGCAAGATGAAAATAGTCATTGATATCACTGCTAAATGGCTAAAAAAAATTTTTTTTCTTATTTGTTATTGTTCAAATCGTCTGTGTGCTCGTTTTTCTTTTTATTTATTTATTTATTTATTTTGGGAGATTGTTTTGTTTTCGTTTATTGCTTTTTTTGTTTTTGTTTGTTTGTTTGTTTTCTGTTTGTTTCTTTATTTGTTTAACTTTTTAAAAAAAATTTTGTTTGTTTGTTTTTTATTTACTTCTGTAGGTTGATTACATGTACGGTCTCTGAAACGTTTTACTGTCCATTTTGTGTTTGTTCATCTTAAGCTCCTCGTTCCTGCACACACCGCTCACTTGCTTTGCACTATCATCTCGCTAAACGTTCATCCCTCTCCGCTCGCACGTTGCACGCTATTTCTTCATGTATATCTGTTTGCTAAAATGTTATATGTATATTTTTCTAACATTTCAATGAATTTCTTGTAACATACATTTATTTAATTCATCTAATGACTCATTAATACTTCCCTTATTTAATTATTGATAGAAAGCATAATTATCCAGAATATCTTTTTTTTAATAAAATTAATAAAAACAGACAAAAATGTAAAAAAAAAAAAAAAAAAGAAGTTTCCTAAATATGTGGACTAGATTGGCAGCTTTCGCTCTGCATTCACCGTACTCTCATTAGTTTGTCTTCTTGGTTCCCCCTCCGTTTATTGTTCGCTCAACGTTCAATCCGCTCACATATTTTCGCCCTCAGCATTCTTTTGGTTACATTTTTCTTACCCTTTGCTTACCTCACAAATGAGGTAGCAGAGTCTTTCACGTACTTTTAAGGTTGAAAACCATGATAAGAATAATTATATATCCTTTAAAAAATATATATTTAAAACAAAAATGAGGAATAGAATTACATAAACTCAATTTTTTTTGTAAACAGGTCAGTCTATGCATATCTACATGGTTTCCATTGCTTTCAATGTCTCGTTTTGTTTAAAGGAACGGTACTTTTTAAGCATTCTGGTTAAAACCAGTTGTTTGTTAAGATTCATTTCCTTCATATTACCATGATTGCGAGATTACAAAAAAATGATCGAATCAAAGAATACTAAAAAAAAAGAAATTCAGATCTCTCAATCGTCTTTTTCATAGAACATGTTGTATGTATTTGCATACAACACATATCATGAGTTTCCGTATCAATTAGGGGTAGCTTATGTGAGCTGTAACCAGAAATGCCAGGGGTCCCCTAGAATGTATAATGGGAAACGGTGTGCCTCTACTACACGCTACGCCGACTACCACAAAGGCGCGTGTGGGTGCGGCCACGGAGACAGCCAATTCGGTTGGAACCATGATCACTTCGTCACCGCCCCTAACCAGATGTTCTTTGATGAAGGATACGGCGGATGGTGTGGACAGAGGTGTGGAAAATGCGTCAAACTGACAACCACAGGTAAATGCGTCAAACTGACAACCGCAGTAAAGCGTCAAAATGACAATCACAGGTAAATGCGTCAAACTGACAACCACGGACAAATGCGTCCAACTGACAATCACAGGTAAATGCGTTAAACTGACAACCACAGGTAAATGCGTTAAACTGACAACCACAGGTAAATACGTCAAACTGACAACCACAGGTAAATGCGTTAAACTGACAACCACAGGTAAATACGCCAAACTGACAACCACAGGTAAATACGTCAAACTGACAACCAAAGGTAAATGCGTTAAACTGACAACCACAGGTAAATACGTCAAACTGACAACCACAGGTATTAATTACATGTACTGCTTTACTGCAATCATCAAATCACAGGAGGTATTTATGTAGCAGTGGCGAAAAATCTGTTTAAGGCTCAACTGGCGCCTCAGGCATGCCGTACCATCGCTCTAACTACTCCGGCGAACTGCCGACTATTACCGATAATGACTCATATTGACTATCAAAAGTAAAAGCATAAGAGTAACTTCGACAGACTCATTCTTCAAAATGACCACCACAGGTAAATGTGTCAAACAGGCTGCTTCAGAAAAAGGTGTTTAAAATAAATTAAAATAAAATATATATAAATAAAAATAAAATATATCAATTTTAGTAAAAAAAAAAAACCCTAAACATATTTTTTCAACATCAAGATATACATAGTTAGTTCTGTGAAAATGTAAAAGCCACCACTTTTACGTATTTAGTGAGGCTCTGAAGTGGCGGATCTACATCACTATAAGTACGTGTATATTATCTTTACAGGGGGATGGGTTCCCGGCCAAGGAGGACCCAGTCCTACAGGACAGTCCCAGGTTTTCATGGTTACCAACCTGTGTCCAAACGTTTATCCTAACCAGAACTGGTGTAACCAGGGATCCGGTCCCTATGGTAACGGACACAACGACTATGGATACGTTGCACATTTTGACTTGGAAAATGGCGCCCAACAAATTTCACATATAGGTTGGAACAACCCGGAAGTGACGTGGGAGATTGTGTCATGTAATGGGTACAACACCCCCACCGACGGCATGTATAATTCCTGCGAGTGTGCGCACCACGGTAAACGCTCTCTAAATGGCACAGCTAATGGAAGTGAAAACTAATCGACAGTGATCAAATATGTTGTAAATTATTTGCGTAAAGAATTAAATCTGTAAATATGGCATGCACGTTTTACTTGTACTGTATTCCCCAAAAAATATTTATATACAGATATTTAATAAATTCACATATATAAAATAAAGTATTTCCATGTATGCAAACACTGGGAATTTCTGTCAGAGTCCCCGTCAGAAAAGAATCAAACACAGATATGATGTAAATACAATGATTATTTCCCTCATTTGGTCTCCATAATAAATGGTCAGTTTGACACAATTATACGTGTTTCTACAAATCAACGGTCACGGTAGCCTAGTCAGTGGTAGGGCGTTCGCTTCGTGATCGGAGGCCCGGGTTTGATTCTCGTTCGCCGCGCCGCATCAAACCTATTTGCAAACATATATATACATATTTAATTTGTCCAAAGGAAGAACCTATTTGTCCACCAAAAATATTTTGTCAGAACTTTTAGTTTATTTGTCAAAACATATATCTAATTCTTCCGAACAACTATACCTATATATTTACTGGGCTTCAACATGTTCAAGGGCAACGCACTATGGCATTATATTCCGTACTTATAAAAGTTATGGCCTTCATGGATGTTTGTAAATTTGACCCCGGATCATTTTTCTACGGGGGTATTATTTATCTTTACAGTGCATGGTATTAGAAGTGAAAGTCACGGGTCTTTCGGGTGAGAGGAGTGAGGAGAAATTGGGAGAGAGAGAAGAATGAAGGGATATAAAAAGGGGGAGCGAGGGGAAGAAGAAACGGGGGGAGGGGTTAGAAAAGGGAGAAAGGTGCCACCTGTGCATCCCGGCATTACTGGATCTTAATAGTTTTGCTTTTATTACATGTAATAATGTTCTCTTCTATATTTTTGATCCTAAAAAATAATGCCAGGTTATGCTTGATCTGTATAATTTTAGCCTGCTTGTTCACGTCAGACTCATTAAGAAAGGTGATATATACAGTATTTGGGTATTATGGTAATATTTTATGAACATTTACTGAAAATGGACGAGTCTACCAGCAACCTCTAGCTCTAAGTTTGTATTCCTAGTTTTACCAGATGTGAAAAGAAGGTTAAATACGACATGATCTAATTGTTAGAAGAGTGAACAGATAGCACGGAGTCATTATATCTAGAACTATATCTATAAAGTCGGTCAAAAGGTTTCTTGATGGCTATATAGTTTTTTACGTACTAAAGATTTGGCTTTATCAGTGCAATACATACATAATATACATTTATATGTACAGTCATGCTTGTTGCTAGACAAACAAACCATGAAAAAAAATACACAATGTATGTCACTTTTTTCTAAAGACAATAATATTTATAACATGTTGCTCACTTCGATTTTAATTAAAATAACATAAAATAGCTAAAAGATAAAGTTTTTCGTGTATATGCTGTGTTTTTAAAAGGTAAATTTTAAAAATGCTATTATTAAACATTAACTTGTGCGTTTATTAACTAAGGCATCAAAAAGAATGTCAAAATTACACCACCAGAAAGCATGAAAGTAAATTGAAATCTGAAAAAAAAATCTTCAATTAATTAGGTGTTTCATTATACTTGAAAATGTATATTGAATGATAAATTAGCATGCGCAAACACTATAACATGCAATATTGTACCACAAATAAAGTTAGAGTTACATGTATATTAACTAAAATGTATGTATGATATCAGAAAACAAAATACTTCAATTTGATCAATGAATGAAGTCATAAGATTGTATAATGTTTTATATAAATTCCTCAAGAGAATTTTTTTCATTCACTGTGAGGAAAACGGTAAATTATTTAATGAGGTGAGAACTATGACATATACAGTCGTCGTTACCTTTATCTGTAGATGCTCCAGATTAGATGAAAATGGTTCACTCATTCAGAACAGGCAACAAACTCGAACAGATAGGAATTATTTTAGATAAACTAAATGGTACAGGTGTCTTAAACCTGCATGGATATATATTTTGCTCTCGAAACTGTCTCTTTCTGCGTTACAGCGAGAAAAAAGGGACTAAGAGAAATAATTTAACGTTAATTATTCTTCCATGTTCATTTATTCAGGATGAAGCAGGAATGAGTCTGACCATTATTTATCTGATTAATTATTTCTCTTTTAATTTATTTTTTACGCTGTAACGCAGAAAGAGACAGTTGGTTCAGTCATTCAGAACAGGCACAATCAAGCAAAATAATTGAATGTCACGTATGCATTAACAAATAAATGACTTATCATTAATTATGTACTAAATGATGATTAAAAATAACATAATAACATAACATAATAATATAGTTCTGTGGTATGTGCTATTCTTAATAACATCATCAACAATTTAAAACAAGAAAACAACAATAACTTTTACCTTTTAGCCTATTTTTAAATGAGATTCTTATTTAAAAATAGTTTTAAAAGCAAATTTATTCAATCAGGATGTATTTTAAAAATAATCCTTTTAAAATCGGGATCGTTATTCAAAAAATTGCGTAACTGTCATTCAGCAAAATTTCGTCACTGGGAATATTGCGGAAATAACTTCAAACTTGAAATGTAAAGGTATTGTGAAGTTTTTATATAGAGCACATACTCTAGATGCCAAGAAAGAACCTTTTTTAAAATATTCATTACCGCCATGACTCATACTTGATCCATACTGTTACATAAGAGCTTGCTCTCTGCACAGGAGTTCGCAATTTTATCAATAAAGTCAATAAAAATCACTCGATTGACCAAGCCATGAGCTATGCGTTAGCATATGCTAACGCATAGCTCATGGTTTGGTCAATCGAGTGATTTTTATTGACTTTATTTATAAAATTGCGAACTCCTGTGCTCTCTGTTTAAAAAAATTATCCTAATCAATTCATTAGACAGCTGTTAGAAAGTTCATAAACAACTGCACGTGGTTGTATTCATAATTTATACATATCGGTCGCATGAGCGACCGATCTATTTGTGGTTATGTTAGAATGTGCACATGGGGAAATGAGCACAGGCACTTGGGGGTATGGACCCCCCTTTCCATTTTTTTTCATTTTTAAATCTGAGATCGAATCACCTTTTTTCCTATTTTTATATTCTAATATGCACTTTATATTATCAATAATGTAACTCTTTTGTCTCTATATATTGTTTTTAAATATACCGTTTTCGACTGATACATAAAAAGAGAGAAGGCTTGCAACTCTTTTCTCGTTGTCTGCCTCACCTCGCTTAATTAAACTTCGCCTGATTATTTATCTAAAGCATAAGAACACATGGGATATGCATACATCAATAAATTTGTTACACATTCTTCTTCCTTTTCATATTTCCATTTAATTTTTATGTGCCCCCGATTTGTAAATATTTCGATTAAATCAACCGCATCTAAGGTAAATTTTGTTGAGGTGCACTAGCTGGGACGGAAGTGTCTGGTATTTTCGGGCGTCATCATTAAGTGTAATGTCATTCGGAACATTAAATGCAAGAGGGAAAAATCCCGAATTTTCTCTTCATATTACATGTAACGGTAAGTTCTGTGTATAACAAGATAACTCTAACTAGCAGATTCTAATGGATGAAGATTAACATTTAACATACGACCTAGACAACCAAATTTCTCAATATTTTTTTATTACAAAGATTGGAATTTTTATTTAATGCAGAACATTTGTAAAGTTAGAGTTACCGTTACTGCACTTCCGTCCCAGCTAATGCACCTCAGCAAAATTTACCTTAGATGCGGTTGATTTAATCGAAATATTTACAAATCGGGGGCACATAAAAATTAAGTGGAAATATGAAAAGGAAGAAGAATGTGTAACAAATTTATTGATGTATGCATATCCCATGTGTTCTTATGCTTTAGATAAATAATCAGGCGAAGTTTAAGCGAGGTGAGGCAGACGACGAGAAAAGAGTTGCAAGCCTTCTCTCTTTTTTAATTTTATGTATCAGTCGAAAACAGTATATTTAAAAACAGCATATAGAGACAAAGGAGTTACATTATTGATAATATATAGTGCATATTAGAATAAAAAAATAGGAAAAAGGTGACTCGATCCCAGATTTAAAAAGAAAAAAAAATGGAAAGGGGGGGGGGTCCATACCCCAAGTGCCTGTAGAAATGAGACGTTATTTTTTCCATTGCTTCGTTGGAATGATTCCTTATTGATAACATTACATAAATGTTAGGAATAAAAGTTTAAAAAATTGCTTAATACTAAGTCTAAATGGTTGTTATTATGTTTCACTTTTCATTTCTCGATAGATATTTATTAATTTAATGATTTTTACAAGTACTGCTCCCCAACATCATGAACATGGGCATGCGTAAGATATAAAAACAAACATATTGACTTTGGATATGAATTTCAGTGCCTAAAATAATTAGAACTGAATTTTGTTTTGAATACACTGCAGTTGCAAGTGACACAATGAAATATTTTCTGCATTTCACATACATGTCTTTCACAACACTGATCGACGTTACCATTTTAGTGATTTTAGTGACATATCCTTGGTATCAGCACATAAAGTTTGTTAGACAGAATGTTCTATCGTTAAAATGATATTGTCCTACGAACCCGGTTTAACGATAGAATTCGTTCCGTGTATTGGCAATGTTGCAAAATAAACACGGGCGATAACTCGTACCCTGTGCATTTTCTATGAACAATCCAGAGAGTTTCGAATGTCAACATGGCGTTAAATTTGAAGCGAGGAAAAAACGTTGAGAAAATGAGTTGAATTTTCCTATTGATATGGATTATTTTTTAGGTTAAAAGACATATACCATCTCAAAAAGGTTTGTTATGATTAATTTGGTAGTTATTTTCAGTGCAACTCCTTTTGTATTCTTCAAAATCATTTTGGAGTGAAGACCACTCCAATTTGCTACATTGCAAGTATATGGGACGTATTCTAACTGTGGTGAGGGCTTGTCCTGAGACACAGTTAGATTATTCTAACTAAAAGTTTGTCAGTTTTCCTTTTTGTCAGCATTCAGACATTCACAATCAATTATTTTAGATAATTGTTGCGTATACCATTGAATCAACAGGGATTTTCCACTGCCCCATGTAGGGCCAAATATAAGGCCCCATTCCCAATTGCAAAATACCTCCCTTTTTCCCAAAAATGAACCCACAAAGTTAACTTCATCAAAGTTTTGGTTTAAAAAACATGGCAATAGATTTGGAAATCTAAATGAAATGAACAAAATTTTAAGAAACTTGGCTAAAACTTTATTTGATCTGTTCTCTGATTTACAGTTCTGAGTTAAAAAAAAAAGTAAAAGATAAATAAGTGTTTATTTCCTGAAAAACATCTTGCAATAAAATATTCCGATAAGTGATAAATTGTTAAATTTCCAATTTCAAGGGTTCCCAAAGTGGAGTGGAAAATCCCTGATCAAATAATTTGATAATAATACATTTCTATCCTTTATCTCAGTCCAATTTTCATATCAATTAATTTATTTCTTTGGCGAAATATTAATATTTATTAAGTACAATTTATGAACAATTGATCACAGTACACTGAAAATTAAAATGTAAAAAATACGCAGAAAAGTACAGCAAGTGGAAAAATGTTTCATATGCTTTTTCCACTTGGATTTTTTTTTCTCTAGACACTTTCTTGTTGAAAAAACTTACAAATGATGAATATATTCTGGCAGCCAATTTCATGCTTAACCATTTGGTCAGTAATTTTGTCTTTGATATGAGAGATTGCATGACCACCAAACAGGGGATAAACCACCATTTGGTGGTCTGCCCAGCCTGTAAAATGCATTAAACTTTTAAGATTATTGCTTAGACAATAATTATACTATATGTTTCAGTAAATATTGGATTTGTAAGCATGTACTGTATACATGTGTTGCAAGTATTTTTCGCAATTAATAAATCGCTTATTTCATAAAGTATGCTAGTTTAACATGTTTAAATTTACTACTGTGTGAAACAACTGTCTGTGTGATACATATATTTATTACATACTTAGTTGTAATAAATATATGTTTTTATGCCCCCATAATCGAAGATTCGTGGCATATAGATTTTGCCCTGTCCGTCCCTCTGTCTGTCTAGCTGTCTAGATGTCTGTCTGTCCGCAAAAACTTTAACCTTGCCCATAACTTTTGATTGGTTGGACCTATGGCTTTCATATTTCACATGTGTATTCCTTGTGACAAGACCTTTCTTTGGGTACCATCATATTTGACCTTGGAGTTAAATGCACTTTTGCAAAAATTTTTGAGACCTTAACCTTGGCCATAAGTTTTGAACACTTAGAGCCTGGGCTTTCTAACTTCACAAGTGTATTCCTTGTGAGAAGGCTTTCCTTTGGATAACAACATCTTTGACCCTTTGATCTTCACCTTGGAGTTTGACCTACTGTTGAAAAAACTTTAACCTTGGCTAAAACTTTTGAACAGTTTGAGCTAGGTCTTTCATACTTCACATTTGTACTCCTTATGACAAACCTTTCTTTGGGTACCATCATGTTTGACCTTTTGACCTTGACCTTGGAGTTTGACCTACTTCAATTTTAAAAATTTTAAACCTTGGCCATAACTTTTGAACAGTTAGTGCTAGGGTTTTCATACTTTACATATGCATTCCTTGTGAGAAGACCTTCCTTTAGATACCAACAACTTTGACCCTTTGACCTTGACCTTGGAGTTTGACCTACTTTTGAAAAACTTTAACCTTGGCCATAACTTTTGAACAGTTGGTGTTAAGGCTTTCATACTTCACATATGCATTCCTTGTGACAAGACCTTCTTTGGATACTAACAATTTTGGCATTGACCTTGAACTTGGAGTTTGACCTACATTTAAAAATTTTTAGCATTGGCCATAACATTTCAATGTTTGGTTCTAGGGCTTTCACATTTTACGATCATGTGTATCACTTGTGACAAGAACTTTTCTTGGGCACCATTTGACTGTAACCTTGCCAATATTTTACTTACTTTTAAAAAAAACTTTAACCTTCGCCATAACTTTTCAACAGGTTGTACTAGGGCTTTCTTATTTCACAGGTGTATTCCTCAAGACAAGACCTTTCTTTGGGTACCAACATTTTTGATTTCTGAACCTGGAGTTTGACTTGCATTTAAGAAACTTTAACCTTCGCCATAAGCTGCTATACGGGGGCATCAGTGTTTCACAAACACATCTTGTTTGCATTTGTGATATACCTAACATCACATAATCCATATCAGCTTCCAGGGCTGATACAGATTTATATCACACCCCTTTCAGATAATACCTTTAAAAATAAACAGTATTAGTGATCAATTGGTGATAATTAATACACCTTTTTTTTCATTAACATTTTCTTAATTTCTAAATTACTGTTCTTTGATATGATAAGCTAGTCAGTGATTACTGTGGAATCATTTTAATTCGTGGGGGTCAACATTCATGGGCAAGCAAAATTTTACTCGTTCATAGGGACGTAACTTCATGGGTTACTCGTTTGTATATGGTAGATTCAATGAATCAATATGTTTACAAAATAAACGTTCATGGGGATGTAAATTCGTAGGGAAGGGTGACCCACAAAATCCATGAACATTGGTCCCCTACAAACAATGATGATTCCACAGTACTTATTATATTTGCTCAAGTAGAAGTATGTTGTATTTTAATTACTCAGTAATAAACATAATAAAACAAACCCTTTTCCATTTCTTATCCTGTATCAGCCCTCAACCAATATAACCTGTAGGGCCTTTGGCCCTCTGGCTGATATATTTGGTCCTCTGGCTGATATCTTTGGCCCTCTGGCTGATATACTTGGTCCTCTGTCTGATATCTTTGACCCTCTGTCTGATATCTTTGGCCCTCTGGCTGATATCTTTGGCTCTTTGGCTGATATCTTTGGCCCTCTGGCTAATATCTTTGGCTCTTTGGCTGATATCAGTGTCTCTGGTTGATGCAGGATGTGAACAGTGATATCTGGAAAAGGGTATGCATTATTCTCTATACACATGTAATATATATATATATATATATATATATATATATATATATATATATATATATATATATATATATATATATATATATATATATATATATATATATATATATATATATATATTAGGGATGTCAAAATAATTTTTTCCTTAGCCGATCATACGATTGCATTATGCGAACTAGGGGTGGGACGATACACATGTCTTGCGATACGATACATATCTCGATACGTGTATTACGATACGATACGATACATATCTTGATATTATAATAAATAAGAAAATTGTAATAAAATGAGTATTTTATTTGTCTTCTTGACAAAAATCAACAAAATATTTTATAATAATCAATTCACATTTCCTTTGAAAATAATATTATATGAATATTGTAATCTATTAGTATCATTGATTGAAAATTAAACAAAATCAATATAACATATTTCATTTGAAGGATAGTCAAATATTCGGAACATTTTCTGAAAATAAAATTTTATTTCAAACTTTATTGGAACATACTCAAAAACCTTTTTACTTTAATATATTTAAAAAGTAACATCAAAATTAATGCTACGTAACGCATGGATAGCATGATTCTATGAAATAAATTTAGAAACCTAATTCTCCAAAATTTATTATTGCTGTACTTTATATACATTCATGGAAAATCTACAGTTTTTTTGTTGAGGAAAATTATCGACTGTCTGTGAGGAAAGACTGTTTCTCAATTTTTTGATGAGAATTCCATCTCATCTATCATTCATTTATTGCATTTATTTAGTTAAAATAATATTCGAATGTCTTTTCATTATTCGATCGTTGGTCCATTCAACTGATAGTCGAATAGTCGACTATTAATTCGTTGACATCCCTAATATATATATATATATGTCACAGAAAAAAATATTCATGAATGAAGTGGCAAGAGAAATGGAGAGGAGAAGAAATGAAGAGGGAGATTTCAGGTCCAGTGAAGTTGAGAGGTCAGAGGTCAGGCCTAGTGAAGTTGAGGGGTCAGAGGTCCTGCCAATAAAACCCAGCAGTGCCAGCAGTACTAGCATAGCTTCTAGTTACTTCAATAACAAGATTACCATACCAGAGGATGTAGAAGTAAGTAATTATATAGCTTCTAGTTACTTCAATATCATATAGCTTCTAGTTACTTCAATAACAAGATCACCATACCAGAGGATGGAGAAGTAAGTAATTATAAAGCTTCTAGTTACTTCAATAACAAGATCACCATACCAGAGGATGTAGAAGTAAGTAATTATATAGCTTCTAGTTACTTCAATAACAAGATCACCATACCAGAGGATGTAGAAGTAAGAAATCATATAGCTTCTAGTTACTTCAATATCATATAGCTTCTAGTTACTTCAGTAACAAGGTCACCAGAAGTAAGTAATCATATAGCTTCTAGTTACTTCAATATCATATAGCTTCTAGTTACTTCAGTAACAAGGTCACCAGAAGTAAGTAATCATATAGCTTCTAGTTACTTCAATATCATATAGCTTCTAGTTACTTCAGTAACAAGGTCACCAGAAGTAAGTAATCATATAGCTTCTAGTTACTTCAATAACAAGATCACCAGAAGTAAGTAATCATATAGCTTCTAGTTACTTCAATAACAAGGTCACCAGAAGTAAGTAATCATATAGCTTCTAGTTACTTCAATAACAAGATCACCAGAAGTAAGTAATCATATACTTCTAGTTACTTCAATAACAAGATCACCAGAAGTAAGTAACATATAGCTTCTAGTTACTTCAATAACAAGATCACCAGAAGTAAGTAATCATATACTTCTAGTTACTTCACTAACAAGATCACCAGAAGTAAGTAATCATATACTTCTAGTTACTTCACTAACAAGATCACCAGAAGTAAGTAATCATATAGCTTCTAGTTACTTCAATAACAAGGTCACCAGAAGTAAGTAATCATATAGCTTCTAGTTACTTCAATAAGAAGATCACCAGAAGTAAGTAATCATATACTTCTAGTTACTTCAATAAGAAGATCACCAGAAGTAAGTAATCATATAGCTTCTAGTTACTTCAATAACAAGATCACCAGAAGTAAGTAATCATATAGCTTCTAGTTACTTCAATAACAAGGTCACCAGAAGTAAGTAATCATATAGCTTCTAGTTACTTCAATAACAAGGTCACCAGAAGTAAGTAATCATATAGCTTCTAGTTACTTCAATAACAAGGTCACCAGAAGTAAGTAATCATATAGCTTCTAGTTACTTCAATAACAATATCACCAGAAGTAAGTAATCATATAGCTTCTAGTTACTTCAATAACAAGGTCACCAGAAGTAAGTAATCATATACTTCTAGTTACTTCAATAAGAATATCACCAGAAGTAAGTAATCATATAGCTTCTAGTTACTTCAATAACAAGGTCACCAGAAGTAAGTAATCATATACTTCTAGTTACTTCACTAACAAGATCACCAGAAGTAAGTAATCATATAGCTTCTAGTTACTTCAATAACAAGATCACCAGAAGTAAGTAATCATATAGCTTCTAGTTACTTCAATAACAAGGTCACCAGAAGTAAGTAATCATATAGCTTCTAGTTACTTCAATAACAAGGTCACCAGAAGTAAGTAATCATATAGCTTCTAGTTACTTCAATAAGAAGATCACCAGAAGTAAGTAATCATATACTTCTAGTTACTTCAATAAGAAGATCACCAGAAGTAAGTAATCATATACTTCTAGTTACTTCAATAACAAGATCACCAGAAGTAAGTAATCATATAGCTTCTAGTTACTTCAATAACAAGGTCACCAGAAGTAAGTAATCATATACTTCTAGTTACTTCACTAACAAGATCACCAGAAGTAAGTAATCATATAGCTTCTAGTTACTTCACTAACAAGATCACCAGAAGTAAGTAATCATATACTTCTAGTTACTTCAATAACAAGATCACCAGAAGTAAGTAACATATAGCTTCTAGTTACTTCAATAACAAGATCACCAGAAGTAAGTAACATATAGCTTCTAGTTACTTCAATAACAAGATCACCAGAAGTAAGTAATCATATACTTCTAGTTACTTCACTAACAAGATCACCAGAAGTAAGTAATCATATACTTCTAGTTACTTCACTAACAAGATCACCAGAAGTAAGTAATCATATAGCTTCTAGTTACTTCAATAACAAGATCACCAGAAGTAAGTAATCATATACTTCTAGTTACTTCAATAACAATATCACCAGAAGTAAGTAATCATATAGCTTCTAGTTACTTCAATAACAAGGTCACCAGAAGTAAGTAATCATATAGCTTCTAGTTACTTCAATAACAAGGTCACTAGAAGTAAGTAATCATATAGCTTCTAGTTACTTCAATAAGAAGATCACCAGAAGTAAGTAATCATATAGCTTCTAGTTACTTCAATAACAAGGTCACCAGAAGTAAGTAATCATATAGCTTCTAGTTACTTCAATAACAAGGTCACCAGAAGTAAGTAATCATATAGCTTCTAGTTACTTCAATAACAAGATCACCAGAAGTAAGTAATCATATACTTCTAGTTACTTCAATAAGAAGATCACCAGAAGTAAGTAATCATATACTTCTAGTTACTTCAATAACAAGATCACCAGAAGTAAGTAATCATATAGCTTCTAGTTACTTCAATAACAAGGTCACCAGAAGTAAGTAATCATATAGCTTCTAGTTACTTCAATAACAAGGTCACCAGAAGTAAGTAATCATATAGCTTCTAGTTACTTCAATAACAAGATCACCAGAAGTAAGTAATCATATACTTCTAGTTACTTCAATAAGAGGATCACCAGAAGTAAGTAACATATAGCTTCTAGTTACTTCAATAACAAGATCACCAGAAGTAAGTAACATATAGCTTCTAGTTACTTCAATAAGAAGATCACCAGAAGTAAGTAATCATATACTTCTAGTTACTTCAATAACAAGATTAACATACCAGAGGATGTAGAAGTAAGAAATCTTTAATCAATATACAGAATAGACACATGGCAGTCAAAGTTTTCAGACATTTACATAAAAAAATAATTATAAAAAAAAATTCCACTGTCTCTCCCTCTGAGACTTTCTCTCTTTACAAAAATTATACAGTTAACATTATGTTCAAAATTTACTCCAATCAATGCTACATAGACACCATTTTAGTCATATATTATATAAAGCTCACACACAGATATTTTGGAGTTTCTGAAACATTTAAAAGTGTATTCTATTGAGAAGGGGGGGGGGGGGGGTTACCCAGTCAGAACCTTTAACCCAATTTGGATCTCTTGTCCATCCAGTGCCCAGCATCATCAGGTATTATTATTATTAGCTTAAAAAACAGTTTGATAATTAATGCTCATTAACATTTAGTTGAAAAAAACTTTAACTTAGAGTACATGCATATATACATACAACTATCTTATTGACATTTTTTATTTAAAATGTTGAATTAAAACAAAAAAATATGTAATGTGTAATTTGCTCAGTGGATACCTGTTTAAGATTGATTGATGAGGGTTCATTACTGAGTAAATTGGCTCACACAGTGTGGATGGCTTAGGGAGATTGAACACAAAAAAGTTTTGAATGTGTATAAAAAATCTATACATATTGTATTAAGCCGCTAGAGATGAAGATTTATCATGTTCAGTGTCTGTTATTTTAACATTTTATAGAATTTTTCATCATCTCTTAGGGTATGTTTTCCTAAATTAAACAAGTTTCAGTTTATTTAGGATTTTTAAGGATTTTTGCCATTTATTTTTACATGGTTTTACAGAACTAGCTGGTTTTATTGTTATGTATGGGTCACACAGAAATGCAGAATAAACAGGATAAAGGAATTTTTTTGGTCTTACTTTCTTCACTATAGGGCTCTGTAAATTAATTTAAAAATTTATGAAACAAACTGTATAGTATAGATGCATCAATTCAAATCTGTTTTGAAATTAAATTGATAAGCATAGGATATGTTTACACTGACTCCACTTTTCTAAGGCTAATTAATTCTGTTGTCTTCATTTATTTTACCTGTATTAGGGCTGTGTGTCCCTTTGCTAAGGGGGATAAATCTGAAATTGAGAAATGTCTGTGATTCCTTCATAAGAAATTCAACATGATTGTTTTGTTTTAATTACTAAATTGTCTTGAATTTTATTTTTGCTGCCACAGTTTGTCATTATTAGAGCTTTTCCCAATTCAGTGTGCATATCTTCAGTCTCCTGTAAAATCCATTATGTATAGTTGGAGCCCACTCAGAAAGGCCCTGGGTCCCATTTCATAAGAGGTACATGTTTACCAGCTGATTGTATTCATTGATTCTCCATTACCACCCAAAATTACAAAATATATATTTGGATAATTATATAAATACTAAACTTTCTATTTACATGTGTATACCTGTGTATTGCAAAACAGATATACATAACAAAACATCATAAATCCCAAACATGATGCATTTTAATATACATATGGGTTAATTTTCCTGATATTCCCCAAAATGTTGCTAATTTTCTCAATTTTAACAACCCTGACCCCATCACCAAAGAACTGTGTAAAAGCCCTGCTGTAAATTATATCATTACATACTGATTCATGTTTTCTCTAATTTATATTTTGTCAAATTAAAGAAACGATGTAATAAATATATATTAGAATACAAAATTATTTCTCATACAGATACAGACATCAGTAATCCATATGCTTCACCTTCTAGACACAATTTATAGGGAACAATATTTACATGTAATACAGTAAAACATGGCTACAGGTAACACACTTATAGTGAATTCACACAGTGGTCAGTGAATGTGATTTTTATTCCCTGTAGATTTAAAACATAACTGTAAACTTAATGGATATTAACAAAATTATTATGTCTGTAATGAATTAAAAATGTTTGTCCCTGGCACTTCACTATAAGTTACATTATTACATGTATAAACCCAATTGACGGTGTGATCCGACTTTCCATATCACCAGAGTGTGGTTTTTGGAATTCATATAATCCCTCTCTGAAAATGATGACATAATACACCATATGCATGATGTTTTTTTTTGTTTTTTTTTTTCCAAAAGTTAATTTAAAAAACGTTTTGTTTAATGGATAACAGTTGTATAATTGATCCAAGAAGTTTTCTTTTATTATATTTTGCTAATTATATTGGGGTATATAATAAATTTATAAATGACCTGAAAGTCAGATTTTAATTGAAAGGGTGCCCCCCCCCCCCCCCCCCCCACAGTTGTCCATGACAGATCTTTCCAATTCTTTTCTTTAATCTCAGATTATGTTAATGAGCAAATTTTTAATCCAAGTAAAAGATAAGCATGCCCTGCTCAGACAGGATTATCAACACTGAGATATTTGAGTCTGATAATATTCTATCTGATTTTCAGCATCCAGTTTTCAGTTTTAAAAAACTATGGGCCTTCACTGGGCCAGGGTTCCTTATGAGTATTGCATACCTGGATCCAGGAAATATTGAGTCTGATCTCCGGTCTGGATCTGTGGCTCAGTTCAAGGTAAGTATCTTTTGATTATCCACAAGCTTCTAAATTGGTTTTATTTATAATGGATTAATCAGATTTAAAAATGTTTTAACATTAAACACATATTTTAAAATTGAATTGATTATAAGCAATTAATAAATCATGATTATTCAAAACTGGTTTATCAAGTTATTTTCAGGGAAACTCCAGGTCTTGGAAATGCTTAAGGTTCATAAATCCTCTGCTCACTCATATGAAATGTTGATTTAATCTTTGTGATTTTCAAAAAGAAATGCATTTTATAAGTAAAATCCAAACAATTTTAGCATAGTTTGTAGGGCAAAATTGTACAAAAAAGACATTTTAACTTGATAAATTTATAAAGGAATAAAAGACATCTACCTCTTGAAGAGTTATCTCTCTTATCAGAGTATCAATGAACCTTAAGCAGGAGTCAACTTTTAGTGCTATTGATGTTGTTATTAGATTGATATTTGTAAATCACAAGTACCACCAAAATAAGCATGATAAGTAATCCCAGATAGAGTGACATGTGTATAGCAGAGTATACTGGGATACTAATTGATGACTTATCAATAGTTAATTAATAGATGACGGAATGTTACCTTCATCTTCACATGTTTTGAAGATCAGGATTTTCTGTTATAGTTGCTATGGATACTGATGTCGGCCACATTTCTCGGCCTCCTGATGCAGAGGCTTGCGGCCCGCCTGGGGGTAGTGACTGGGATGCACCTGGCAGAGGTCTGCTACAGAAGCTATCCCAGGGTTCCACGCTTTGTGCTGTGGTTCATGGTAGAAATAGCTATCATTGGTGAGGTGCTGTTAATATAACTTTGATGGGGGGGGGGGCAAGGTCACTTTGAGGGTGCATTTCTGAAAGACTTTAATTTATTTCAAATGGACAGTTTCTGTCATGTCTGTACATTCATAACACAGGCACTTGACATTTTAGATATTTTTTCTTTTATTCTGATAAAAAAATTCCATACTATTATATTATTACGCTGTGGAATTCTTTTAGCAATAAAGAAAAATATCTAAAATGTCAAGTGCCTGAGGTTCATAGTCAGTATTTTACTACATACTTAAGAGATATGTCATGAAATTCAACTGTCTGTTGTAAAAATTATAAGGCCAAATAAAAAAAAATATGTGTGTTTCTGGTAACATGCCAAAAAAAAGGTAGGTAGGTAGGTAGGTAGGCAGGCGAAACTTTTTTTTTTACTTTACTTTAATTTTATTTTGAAAGCATCAGTTAATTATTCAGTGTGCTGTTTTTTGTCATATAGTTTGTGCTTTACATGTCCCAATACAGACAAACCAAACAAGACAAATGTGTACATCCGTACATGTATATACTTGAAATATGGAGATAACGAACACTGTATTCAAGCTCAAAGTCCATTAAAACAATACAAACACTGACTTCCAAAAACATCAGAGATGGGATCAGGTGCCATGGAGGAGTGAGTATCCCCGCTTCAGTTGTGAAAACAGTCTTGTTGTGACTGGACTTTTACAACTAGCAGTCAAAGGTGTTTTTTATTTTTTCAACAACAAAAAAAGAAAGAAAAATCATATTAAAAGAATTTTTAGACTCAACATTTAAGATAGGCAGGAAATTATTGGGACAGTCATAGAAATATTGTGTTTTTAATGTTTTTTACAGGATCAGATATGCAGAAAGTGACTGGGATTGCTCTAGCATTTTATTTATTTTCACAGAATCAGATATGCAGAAAGTGATTGGGACAGTATAGCATGTTATTTATTTTTTTATAGGATCAGATATGCAGGAAGTGATTGGGACAGCTATAGCATTTTACCTGTTATCAGATGGAAAGTAAGTTTCAATTACATGTATACAAACCTATATACTACTGAATGCAACTCTGATTCAAGCATACCAACCTGTGAATTCCCCAGTATGAAATATTATATATAATGTTGACACCTTGACACCCCCCCATGTGAACATGGTGAAATATAATTACATTTATAGTTTGCTATCCAGGATTTTTCTTCTGAAATATACATGTAACTATCCCACGGGGAATCTTATGTATGTAGTATACTTATTTTTACTCCTGGGATTCTTCCATTATGATATCAAATCGTATTTTATCACCAGGACTTCCCTGTATTCAATATTTGTAAATTTTCCATTGGAACTCCCCTGTATTAAATATTTAATTAATTTTGTAATCTTTCCACCAGAATTCCTCAGTATGAAATATTTGTAATCATCCCACTGGAATTTCCCTGTATGAAATACATGTATTTGTAATTTTCCCACCACACAGGGTTCACTTATATGATATATATGTAATTTCCCTGTTAATTTTGTCTCCAGGATACCCCTGTACGGAGGTGTACTGATTACTATCGCAGACACGTTTACTTTTCTCCTCCTGGACAAGTACGGTCTACGTAAACTGGAGGCTTTCTTTGCATTCCTTATCTTTATCATGGCTGTCACATTTGGATATGAGGTATGAAATATGAATGATTTAATCATAATTGATGTTGTAAAACTAGAATAAAATCTAGTGTAATATTTTTGAAGATTTGCACTTATTATTGAAAAATACATGTTAGTGCACTGAATGCATAATACTGCTACATTGTATTCCTTAATATTTAATTATTGCATAATATCAAAAATTACATAAAATAATGCGCTTTGAATTTTATGTTCCTTAAATACATGTAAAAACTCTAGATCAACAGTTAAATCATGAATTCATATTCTAAAATAAGGAATCTACAGAATGGCACATTTTGGTGATATTTTAAGTATCTTGAAAACTTGTGGATTATTAAGCTGAATGGAATACAGAAATTAGGTAATAGATGTATAAAGTTTACTGTACATCCAAATGAAACCTTTGCTTTTTCCAGATGAGAAATAAGGTATAAAAGTGCCTGATGTTCCTATAGTCTCTGAATTAAATGTTATGGTCACTACTGAAGAAGTCATAACTTAACATATTAAACATTTGATAAAGCACTTTTCCACACATCATCTTTAGATATTTATTCTACAGCTTCATCAGTTTATCCTTTGTCTTTCTAATGTAAAACAAAGTGACGTTTGTTGTTTACATTAAAGTGTATTTATTTTTCCCTGTGATCTTTAAATGTTTTTGTCTGTTTGTAGTATGTAATAGTTAAGCCTGACCAGCCATCCCTACTAAAGGGGATGTTTATACCTTACTGTGAAGATTGTGGCCCAGAACAGGTTCTACAGGCTGTGGGCATTATAGGAGCAATCATCATGCCACATAACATCTACCTCCATTCTGCTCTTGTCAAGGTGTGAATCTTTACATTAAAATCTTGAATAAATACTTTTCCACATTAAGCCACATAACATCTACCTACAATTCGCACTTGTCAAGGTGTGAATCTTTCATTAAAATCTTGAATTAATACTTTTCCACATTAAGATCAGGCATTTTTTTTTGTTAATTTATGTACTTCTATTTTAGATTTTTTTTAATTTTATATCTGTCAGTAATTTGTTATCCTTTGCAAGGCTAAGCCATAGAAATGTAATGATCCAGTTGCATATATAAGGGGCCACTTTGATTTTGCAATAGTGTAAACGTATTACATTTGGTTGTGTATTTTTTTAGCACCTTTGGCAGAAAGCATATTCGGCTAATTCAAGTACAGTGTTTAATGTCTTACACATAAATAAGAACATTGAGAACTGAGCTAAATCAAATCTAAGCTAACTCAATCAAAAAGCAATTTCTGTCAAATACTGTACACGCTTAATATAATACATTTATAGTATTCCACTTTGCATCAGTGACTTTAACCATGCAGAGGGATATATTGCTTAGCTAGTCTGGCCCCTGTCCCTGTGTACAACACTTAATTATGAAATCTATATTTTTTGTCATTTATGCCTGTTTCTCTTCAAATAGTATGTCACTTAAGTATCTCATCTTTTTTTAGTCTCGAGATGTAGATCGATCTCGGAGGGATCACGTCCGGGAAGCCAATAAGTACTTCTTCATTGAGGCAGCTATTGCTTTGTTTGTATCATTCCTTATCAATGTGTTTGTGACTGCAGTATTTGCCGAGGGATTCTACGGGAAAAATGTCACAGAAGTGGTAATTTCAAAGATTTATTATTTTACACAATTGAGGGATTCTGGGTGTATAGTTTTCTGATTAATTAATGGAAGAATCAGCTAATGAATGTTATTTTACTTTTGTTTTCAGTATGATAACTGTTTAAAAGTTGGTAACCCTCATGCATCCATTTTCAATGTAAGTATTGCAGAATGTCTTCATCACTTTGTAAGTTGACAGTCCTCCATGTTACTAATCTTATCATATGAAAACTTGAATGATTCAATGATTGAGATTTTATCTGTCAGCTGTCTTGCTTTTATTTCATTCAAACTTTCTAAAACTGTCGCAAGTAGAAAGAGGGACAAAAGTTTTCTTATCCTTTGTGTTGATTAAATTTGAGGATGTATAAAGAATAATAATTTGAATTTCATTTTAAGAACATAACATAAATATTTGAGAACCTAACCCCATCCTCATCCATCCATTATGGAATGTTGATGAGCATTTCTATTTCTGTTACACAAGAGAAATCCTACAGTTTTGCACTGGATTTTTTGTTTTAAAAGTAACCAATTAGTTAATTTACAATAAATTTACAAGTAAAAAAAAAAAGAGAAGAAAAAAAATTGAACTGAAGATATTGTCATTTGCTCTAAATATATTAACTGAGGCAGAGCATGTAAGAGATAGGGGCATGTAAAAAATTTCAGTAACATGATGTTTTGACATTTTTCTTACAATTTAATTTCAGACCACTAAACTGGAGGTTGATATCTTTCGAGGGGTAAGTATACAGTATTATGCATGAATATGGGTAGCCAGAAATTAAAATTCAGTCAGTGAATCTTTATAGTGTTTGAATGTTATTTTTTTTTGTTATATCAAAATTTATAGCTCTCTACTCTGTGGTAATTAGTTGAAATACTTGTACCTGCCCAGTAATTGGCAGTACAAAATCAGTCAATCTTTGTAATAATTAACATTTACTAAAATGATCACATTTTTAAATACTTTAAAAAAAATCAACATTTCATGCAATATAAGCATGTTACTGAAATTGTCATCAAAGAAGGAATAATGATTGACATTTTGATCAGTGATTTTCCAAAATATGGCTTAAATACTGTCAAAGCGATTTAAAACAATAAACTGTGAATCAATCTCAATCAGTGAACTTGCAAGACTCTTACATGTATTCAGTCTCTGGGATTTGTCATATTGAGGAAGCTGTTACAGTTTAGAAACCTTGTACTATGTAAACTAAATTTCTGTCAAACTAAAGAAACCTGAACTTTAACTTTAATAATGAAATGAATTTAAAATTACAGGGTGTGTTCCTTGGTTGTCAGTTTGGGTTGGCAGCTATGTATATTTGGGCAGTTGGAATTCTGGCAGCAGGTCAAAGTTCAACGATGACTGGAACATACACAGGACAATTTGTGATGGAGGTATTCTTCAATAGCTTCAGTTTCAAAGAAAATTATAATGCGTGTATTTGAAACCTGATTGATGAATAAAGAAGGTGTACACTCAGTACCAGTGTGCCAGGTTAAAATTTTCCTAGTTATTTGCATTTGAAGCCTTACCTTGAGCAGCCTTGCATGGATACAGTAATCAATGGATACATTTTATCAGACTTGCTTTGTATGCAACATGTGAGTTATGATTTTCAGATGTTTAGCCATGTACATGTTTACAAATGGTTTTTGAATCCAATCCATTTCTGGGAAACAGTAAACCCTACTTGGACCATGGTCCAAACTTGCATGGATAATGCATCTATAGATGCTTTTTTTCCAATCATGCTTCAGATCCTAAATCTGAATTATGTTTTCAGGATGAGGGAATGAGTTAAATGTTTTTGAGCAGGATCAAAAAAGTATAAGGGTTACCCAGACCATTTAAACATTCTCATAATTATGAAATTACTAGATTAATGTACTCTCTTGAATATTCACTTGATATAGGACTTAGCCTCACTTATTAAATCATATTTGCTGAGGTGACCTTTACATCCCTTGATTACTTTATGTAACCATTTTGTTTACTTGATGATTTGAGTTCTTTTTTCGCAGGGTTTTCTGAATCTTAAATGGAAGCGCTGGATGCGTGTGTTATTCACGCGGAGTATTGCCATACTTCCTACGATCTTTGTGGCCACATTCTCGGGGATTCAGGATTTAACGGTTATGAATGACATGTTGAATGTTTTAATGAGTCTACAGCTGCCTTTCGCCCTTATTCCTATACTCACATTCACAAGTTCCGAAAACATCATGGGGGAGTTCAAGAATGGAAGGTATGCTTGTCTTATGTCTGCGTAAAATAAAGAAAAGATTCCATAATTTTATTGTTAATGTTGATTCTCAATAGATAAAAATTTACGAGTAATAGGATATAAAGAAATGCTTAAAATTGACTGGATTTTTATTTTATAAAATGTAATTTATTAAGAACACTTTAAACATCATTAATATACAAGAATGATAGGTCAGCAAATAAAGAATGAATGGTGAATGAATGGATAGAAAGAAGGAAGGAGATGTGAGTAAGTGGAGTGGGGCCTTAAATAGCTTGTGGCAACAGAGTGCAAAAAAAAAAATGGTGACCTTGAAATGTTGCGGGGGGGGGGGGGGGGGGGGGTCAAAAGATCCATGTTGGATAAAAAAACTAAATTCAGAAAGTTAGGGGGAGGAGGATGAAGACTTCTAAAGTTTGTTCAATCTTATTGTCTGACATGGATAATTACACAAAGAATTACATATAGTATGTGAGACTTTTTGCTATTCGAATTTAATTAATAAAATGTTTCTTTCTATTATGATAGTACTTGATAATCAATTTTAATCAACATTCCTCACATTTAGTTTTTAGGGAGGGGAGGGTTCTTGATAAAAACTATGTAAATTTAGTTTTTCTTTTTTTGGGTTAGACATGGAACTATAAATAAAGACCACTTCTCTTTTTTGTAGGTTTATGTCCATCTTTACTGGTGTGCTGGCCATTGTTGTGATCGGAATAAACCTTTTCTTTATAATAGAGTACATTCAGGGCCTGCCTGACCATTGGGCAGTCTATTTAGTAGTGGCCATTCTAGTCCTTATTTACATTATTATTCTTCTGTATCTGGTAAGTTTTCCATTTTTTTTTTCATTTCACAGGATTTATGTAGGAAATATGCTATTGATTTTCTTCTTTCTTTGTGGAATAAATTTCCACTAAAATTGTCACAGTGTATTTTAAAATGCATGTAAGATATACCAGAGTTGTGGAAAACTGTCCGTCATGCTGGCAAAAGCGGCAAAAAATGCATATGACCGGTAAAAATGCTATCGATGTTGGTCCAAATGACCGGCACCTTTTTTGGTTAATTTTTTTTTTCCATTTATTATCGGCGCACTTCCCAGCATAATTACTTATATGCGATTGCGTAATACTTTTCTTAACACGAGATCGAGGCTATTGATGAAAGCGAAAGCAGCATGGTGTCGTGACCTATTAAATTTACAACTGGGACAGAATTAGGTAGAAAACATAATAAAGACAAGCTAAATATGAAAAATTTCGATAGAAAGAATTCAAACACAGTTGGGGAAAGCAGTAAATCTAATACTTCTGACTGTCCCGGATTTCGTTTTTTCATCGATCGTATTGATATCTTTATTATCGATGCACAGAATTTCTTCAATTTTTCTAGGTTAATATAATTCTCAAGTGCATAATTGTTTTAAAAAATATGTTTACTATGCTGAATTAGCATTGTCACCAGCCCCAAAGCGGTGAAATCTAGTATTGTTATAAACATGATTAAAAAAAAAACGAAAACGGAAGAGGACTTGTGGAGACTGAATGTTATATATTATTATTAAGTAAATAGATGTGTAATGAAGTAAATAAATGTTATGCTTTTTTAAAATTTTGCAATCTACTATTTCGGACCAGCAACAATCACTTCGGACCGGCTTATTTTGTCTTCTTGCCAGTCCAAATGACTGGCTATCTGAAAAAGTTTTCCACAACTCTGATATACATTGGCAATCCAATCTTATTTTATATCCAAAGATCAAATCAAGATTGTCACTCCAATGAATTATGACCCCGTGAAAAAAGAACATTTACAGTGTAGGGACCAGATTTTTGTTTGTTATCTATATGAAAATCCATTTGTAACTGTAGAACTGTGTTTGATGATTGAATGTTATGTTGTTTTATTCTTCCCTACCCCCTTTTCCCTTCATTAAATAAAAAGAAATGTTATTTTAAAATGCAAAACTCTCGAAATGTAAGCACTCTTACTTCTTTTGTTATGTTTGTTGTGTTATTTTGAGCCACATAATAACAACATTTCTGAATCATAATCACTTGTCACTTAGGTGAGCAATTTAGTTCAAGTGAATTATATATAGCTAAGTGGTCTTTTTAATTTTAATTGTAGATTTGGTTTTGTTTAATAACCAATGGAATCCAATTCCTTCAAAGAATACCTGTAAGTAATCAAAATTATTTTTCTTTTGCTTTTATGATAAAACTTTAAGTATAAAATACTGCTAGAGTAAATGCAACATCTAGGGCCCTTTCAACTGCAGGGGGAAAAAATGAGTAAATGCATTTTCTATGTAAGATTGGCAGATCATCCATTACCCTCCTTTCACTTAAATTAAAAGAAAAACAGAAAGAAATGAAATGTCTATTTTCAAAAATGTTAAATTATTTTTAGAGTTTTATTCACTTTTAACACTATCATATAAGGACATTAGAGACCCCCCCTCCAATTCCAAGTCTGTTGGAAAGGCCTAAATTGATATCAGATTACTTAGATACTTTTGTAATAAATTTATATACATGAATTCCAGTCTTTAATGTAGAGAAAGAAAAGGCTATGACGTGATAGAGTAATATGCAGACAGATTTTTCCTCAAACAGAATGGGTTTCTCCTGAGAAAAGTCTCAATATATTATATTTACATATTTATTTGTAAATGTTTTCTTTTAAATAAGTTAAACACTATTTCAACAAGGTATTTGGCTCTATGGGATTTGATCACATGACCAACCTGTATTTACATCCTGATAAAAGATTAAACAAATGAAACCTTATTTATTAAAACAATTTAAAGAGATCAGAATGAAGGCTTATAACTCTTAATTACATAGAATAAATATTTAGAGGATATTTAATGTTTTGGATTTGGATATTTTATTTCACAAGTGAGACAGGATTTTCTTTATATTTTAACAAGAGCGAAGCAAGAGTGAAAATAAATGTATAAAAAAAAATTAAGCCCTGTCTATAATTGAGTAAAATAAATTCCATATTCAACTAGAAAACATTGAATTTTGTGTTCTTTACATTTCTTTGTTTTTTCCTTTGCCATTGTCTTCTTGTAATACAGTGTCATAGGCTGAGGTCATAGTTGAACGGTTGTGACATCGCAGCTTTAATAGTGAGTGTGAGATGGGAAAAATGTAAACATGGACTTCAACATGTTTGAAGAAACTATGACAGTTTTATTCTCTGTCAGGATGGTTTATTTACTCTCTCTTATAACAGGCTAGAGTTTTTTTTCTTTACAAAACTTTTTGTGAAGGGAGGAAAATTGAGAGTATTGCTACACTTCTGAAATTCTTTCACACTGTGACAAAATATCATTTTGATATTCTTTCACACTGTGACAAAATATCACTTTTATTAAAAAAAATTATTTTCAGTATTTCATGGTTAAAAATATGATAAACATGTATATTTCTTTAGGTAAAGTAGATAGGTAGTGAACCGTACTGAACCCATTGGAACCCAGTGAAATCAAATTTAACTCAAGGTTTTTACCCACCACCACCACCACCACCACTTTTCTTTTCAATCTCTTGTTGATGTCTATAGTATCTACCATACACATACTTGTTATTTGTTACATCTAGGTTTGTTGTATTTTTCTAATCCATGTAGAATCTTCTTGCTTCACAAATGATAAAACCATCAAGACAAATTGATTAAATTTGATTTCAAACACAAGTTAAATGGAAAAAAAGAGAAATCTCTCAGTCAAGTAAGACCTGTTCGTAATCATAAAGAACATATATTTGTTAAATCAGCATGATTATTTTTTAAGTAATCACAAACTAAACTTGGTCTTTAACTTTCACCCTTTCATCGATAGATATAAAATATAAGTTTATCTGTTGAGAAAGACATTTTGATCATCACCCTCACCTTTTCAAATAAGAAAAAAAAATGTTTAAAATAACACTATTAGAACTGATGGACCTTAACCTTTGTCCTTGAAATAGATAAATAAAACAAGTTTATATCTATTCATGATTTGCTGTTTTGATTATCTCTTCTAATTTTATAGATGAGAAGATGAGGTTAATGTTTTAAATTTACCTTTTGTTGGTGTAAGAAGGTTAAATTTATTGTTGTTAATATGTACAAATTATGTTAACACATTGGTCAGTCAGTAAGTCTTTTTTTTTTTACTGATACTGCAGTCATCTTTGACCTCTAACTATGAAACATGTTTATATCTGTTACTGATATGTTTATTTGATTACTTCATCTGACTTCACTTTAGGTAAAGCAGCAGATGAGATTATACGAGGGTCGTTCAATAAATAATGCAACAAACAGTATATCATAGTAAATATAGATCAATTTAATTTTATTTTTTCACAGTTAAAACGTTCAATTAAACGGGCTTCTAATCACAGAAAACTCCTTGATTTTTCCTATTGTCCTCGCAAAGAAATTCACTTTTAAAAGTATGCATGGTCACCACACTGAGTTGAAAACTGTTTAAAATGATCTCCGCCAAGAAGATGAAAATTAGAGCGTATGTGAATACTGTGCTTCTTTACATAAACCGCCGAAGAACTCATATTAAAGATATGAATTTTATATGTGGAAAGAAAAGTCTTGAACGGTATATAGTTTTCAGATTGATTCAGAAATTCAAAAGTAAAAAAGGGGAGTTAAAATATAAAAGTCAAACTGGTCGATTGAAATTTGTAGGGACACCAAAAATTATCGATGCAATGTGCAACATGATATCTGAAAATGTCAGATTTACATCCAAAGAAATTGATAGAACACATAAGCATTTCATCCTCATAACATTTTATAGAATTCTGACAACGGAAATGAATATAATAATATTTCTATCAGATATGTTCCTTACTTTTTTAAAATTGTCTAAGAGAAATATACGCATTAAATGTGCCAACGGTCTACTTAAAAACAAATATTTTAACAAAATAGAAGAATTGTTAAATTTGCGTGATGGATAACGAAACATGGGTGCGCATTTTATAGCCAAAAAAGGAAGAATAATAATAAAATGTGGAATCAAAGAAAAAGCTATTGTTCTTATTATTGTAAAGAGAAACAAGGGGCTCCAAGTATCGTTTATTAGTTTTTATTTTATTCAAGAGGTCCAGTAAAACATTAGATACACGCAAAGGAAGGACCATCAATGGTAACTTTTATGTTCAAATTGCACTGAGGAAAGATAAACAAATTTCCTGCAAATGAAGTTCAAATACCGTGCCCAGGGTAATTTTCTTGCACCTGGCAATGCTGTTGCAAATAAGCACAAAGAAATAAATGAAATTCTGAAGAAAAGAAAGTTAACAGAGCTTTACCATCCCCCCATATATTTGCTAGACCTCAGCCATTGTGAGATTTTTTTTATTCTAAAAATTCATGAAAACAATCCAGGAAGTTTGTACAATATTAGATATGTCATGGAAAGTGATATTCATCAGTGTCTTTGGGACATTCCTCAAGATGGGTATGCTGAGGTTTTCTGGTCATAGGTACGAAGGCTTAAGACATGTGTAAAGGATAACAGGGAATGCTTTGAGGGATTGAAAATGTTTAGACTATGTATTACGCACTTTTCGTACTGTGAGCTGACCTATTGCATTATTTATTGAACAACCCTCGTAAAATGAAAAAAAAAATTTCAGTTTAAGTACATTTGACTTTTATTTGACCCTATGTTTGGAAATGTGAGTTGATGTAGGCTGTTACAAATTGTAAATGGTATATAATTACCATTTGATTTGCAGGATCTTAGTGCCTTGTATAATGAATGGGTAACTTACAACTCATTACGACAATCAAGCTTGCGTTTTATTAAACTAAATACTTCATAGTTTGTCCATATTTATTGAAATACAGTGATTTTTTTGTAATTCCTTTTCAATTTCCTTTGTTAGGTCACCTGATTCACTCAGGTGACCTATTGCTATCCGTTCTCGTCCGTCGGCGTGCGTCGTGCGTTAACATTTGAACATTTTTAGCTTCTTCTCTGAAACCGCTTAACCAATTTCAACCAAATTTGGCATATAGCATCTATGGGTGAAGGGGAACAAAAATTGTGAATTTCATGGTCCCTGCCCCCCTGGGGCCTGAGGGGTGGGGCTAAAACCACCAAAAATAATGCAATCTTTAAAAATCTTCTTCTTTACTCCTGGACATCAAGCAGTCAAACTGTTGGCATCATTGTAATAAGCATTGAGCCCTCTACCAAAATTGTGAAAATCATGGCCCAAGGGTCAGGGGTTCTGGCCCCAGGGTGGGGCTATATAGATCATATAGTGAAAGTGCATTATTTCTTTGAAAATCTTCTTCTCTGCTCCTGGGTATTAAATAAGGTAACTAAGTACATAGTTATGATGAGCAAGAGTGCCTCTTCCAAAATTGTGAAATTCATGGCCCCAGGGTCAGGGGTTCTGGTGTAAGGGCGGGGCTCTATTGATTATATAGTGAAAATGCATTAATTCTTTGAAAATCTTCTTCTCTGCTCCTGGGTATTAAATAAAGTAACTAAGTACATAGTTATGATGAGCAAGAGTGCCTCTTCCAAAATCGTGAAATTCATGGCTCCAGGGTCAGGGGTTCTGGCCCCAGGGTGGGGCTATATAGATCATATAGTGAAAGTGCATTATTTCTTTGAAAATCTTCTTCTCTGCTCCTGGGTATTAAATAAGGTAACTAAGTACATAGTTATGATGAGCAAGAGTACCTCTTCCAAAATTGTGAAATTCATGGCCCCGGGGTTAGGGGTTCTGGTGTAAGGGCGGGGCTCTATTGATTATATAGTGAAAATGCATTAATTCTTTGAAAATCTTCTTCTCTGCTCCTGGGTATTAAATTAAGTAACTAAGTACGTAGTTATGATGAGCAAGAGTGCCTCTTTCAAAATTGTGAAATTCTTGGCCCCAGGGTCGGGGTTCTGGTGTTAGGGCGGGGCTCTATAGATTATATAGTGAAAATGCATTAATTCTTTGAAAATCTTCTTCTCTGCCCCTGGGTATTAAGTAAAGTAACTAAGTACATAGTTATGATGAGCAAGAGTGCCTCTTCCAAAATTGTGAATGTCATGGCCCCAGGGTCAGGGGTTCTGGTGTTAGGGCGGGGCTCTATCAACTATCTAGTGAAAATGCATTAATTTTTTGAAAATCTTCTCTGCTCCTGGGTATTAAATTAAGTAACTAAGTACAGTTATGATGAGCAAGAGAGCCTCTTCCCACATTGTGAATTTCATGGCCCCAGGGTCAGGGGTTCTGGTGTTAGGGCGGGGCTCTATCGACTATCTAGTGAAAATGCATTAATTTTTTGAAAATCTTCTCTGCTCCTGGGTATTAAATTAAGTAACTAAGTACAGTTATGATGAGCAAGAGAGCCTCTTCCCACATTGTGAATTTCATGGCCCCAGGGTCAGGGGTTCTGGTGTTAGGGCGGGGCTCTATCGACTATATAGTGAAAATGCATTAATTCTTTGAAAATCTTCTTCTCTGCTCCTGGGTATTATTTAAACAAACTAAGTGCATGGTTATGATGCATAAGGATGCCTTTTTTAAAAATTGTGAATTTCATGGCCCCAGGGTCAGGGGTTCCGGTGTTAGGGTGGGGCTCTATTGATTATATAGTGAAAATGCATTGATTCTATGAAAATCTTCTTCTTTGCTACTGGAGATTATTTAAACAAACTAAGTGCATTATTATGATAGGCAAGGATGCCTCTTCCAAAATTTTTAAATATATGGCCTCAGTTTTTGGGGTTCTTGAGGAGGGGGGGGAGGGGGGTTCTATTGATTATAGTGAAAATGCATGAATTCTATTAATTAATCATTAACTAATCCTGTCTGTTCCTTAGTGTTGAGCTGATAAATAAATTGCTTAGCTATGATGAAGATGGGAGCTTTGAACAGAATTTTTAAATCTTGTTGTCCTAGGGACAGGGGTTCTGGCATAACGAGGAAGGGGAGGGGGGCTTTTGATAATATAGTGGAAAAGTGTTAATTCTTTGAAGTCCATAGTTATGATGATGAAGGTAACTCTTCCAAATTTGTAAATTTCTTGACCTTTGGTCTTGGGTTCTGGTGTTAGGGTAAGGCTTTGTTGAATCTGTAGTGAAAATGCATTGTACCTGTGAAATTCTTCTCTGCTTCTGGGCATATCGAAAGCAAACTGAGTAAAAGTTTAAATGATATAAGTAAGCGTATTTCTACCAGATTTTTGAACATCTGGACAATTTGTCTAAGCATTCTGGTCCTGGACAGGGCTCTATTAATTTATATTCTACTGAGAGAAGTTATTCCCCTTTTCCATTCACCTTTGTTAATTAATCACTGTAAATAATGTATTTGAAAGATTAATAGAATAAGATAATTATGCAAGAATGTTTATCGTATAATTCAAAAAGTACTTTCTTAGTTTTAATAATCAGGCAGACCTGTAAGTAATAGATAAATAAAAATGAGACAAAAATAACTTATCTTATTAAAAGTTCTTCAAAGACCATAAGAGAGGTCAATGCTAGAGGTCTTAATATGGGTTTAAAAAAAGTACAGAAGCACTAATAGTTTGTTAATAGTCTGCATGGTGATAATATTAAGTGGGGGACAGATTAGAACTTAAGTTATGAGTTGATACTGAATACTAGACTAATTATTTTGTTGATCCTGATCTTCGTACTTCTCTTGCTTTAGGGCAACAAAGCTTCATCTGTCAGTGTATTTAACTTCTAAATTGTTGTATTATACTCAGGTGACCGTTAAGGACCTTGGGCCTCTTGTTTTAGTTTGTTGTCACACTGTGTATGTTGGCATATTTGTCTTTAAAGGTTTAATTTAATAGTAACAAAATTTAGATGACCGAAGAATGAAAATAAAGTGAAAATAATGAACAGTGATCGTTCTCAAAAAACCTACATACAATTATACAAATCTGTGAGCAGGGCATAAAACACGGACTTCCTAAAATTCCATAGATGGGATCAGGTGCTTAGGAGGACTAAGCATCCCCTGTCAACCCGTCACACCTGTCTTGAGTTTCTTTAGGGTAAAAGGACACTGTAATATTATTTTCTCCATCTATTTAATTGTCCTTGAACTCTAACTTTGTTTATTTGATAGACAGGAAATTCTGCCGTGGATGAAACAACTCCACTTCTGTGATTTCAAAGGTTTCTTTTTGTTTAGTTTGTTTTGTGATTTGCATGCTTTTATTTCTGGATTATTTCTTGATTTATTCATGTATTACTAAGTTTTTTTTTTCTTTTCTCTTTTCTTTTTTGCATGTTGCAGTCATCAGTATTTCTATTAGTATACACAAACATCGATTTCTGTCTTACAGTTGTTTGTTGTGTATAGTAAAGCTTTACAATTTTGAGGATTTATTGATATAGGATATACAAGTACATGTATTTTTCATTTATGGATGAATATAGAAGGATAAATATCTTAATGATTATAGTTGAAAAAAAAAATCACAGTAGAGATTTGTTATTTTGGTTCATACAAATTTGGTTTGTTTCTCTATTTACTAATATCAATAACATGAAAGAAGATACCAAATAGCCAAACTGTTTACATTTGCTCTCTAACTTCTTGCAGATGTATAACACACATTTAAAATGCATTTACAGGAAGCGTCTCTATAGAATATTAATACGTGTTTGAAAAATCAACAAGTATTTTCCAAAGCAAACTGATATTTATAACATTATAATTCATACATGTACATTTGCCAGTTTCTTCAGATACAATCAACTGTGATGTGTCATAATCGATCACAAACGAATGACAGATGTTTAACTTTAGGAAGTTAGTTGTATTATTGTGTATGCTTAAACTTATATGCAACTCCCTTCAAATATGAAACAAGAGCAATGTATTTGTATGAAGCACTATGTTTGTCCTTATTGTCAGGAACGTTTACCGACTGAAAACTAAGAAACGGAGAAAACGTATGCCCCCACTTAGTACAGAGGTTGCTTAGGACTAAGGGAGTCTAATACAACAATTTTACAAGATCACAGCTATGAGACCAGGTTATGTCTATGGTTACGTAGAAAGATAGGTACTATATTCTTGTTTTGGTGAGGATAAAATGACAAATAAATATGAGAAGTTTACTCTAAATGAAAAGAAATAATAAAATTCTGCCCAAGTCTTACATACATGTATCTAGGAAAGAACATTGAAGGGAATGTACATGTCAACCATTTGTTTTATGTCTCCGAACAGCAAAAGGAAATTTTCATTAAACTGGTCAGATTCACCCATGGACCAATTCTCCTCGAAACTCATAGAAAAAGTACCTTGCACAAACTGTGACCTTGTAGAATATTTTTGTTATTATTTAGCCAGGAAGACATAAATGTATATAATTGATGAAATCCTTAAGATTTAGGGTTGTTATTGTTTATTGGGTAGGCAGGAGGAAAATAGAGTCAGTAAGAGGAAAATTGTGTACACCCTTTTGCCACCACCATTGTTATGAACATTTGGATTCACTTCTAATTATAGAAAATGACCCCTACCCCAGAGAAAATATTTCATATTTTTTAATTAAATGACAGCATTTAATACTCACTTGTTTCTGAATGCATTTGATCTGACTGTTAAATTAACAGAATTTCCATGAATGAATTTAATGTTGTTGAAGTAATACCTTGTAAATAATAGAAACTATTAAAATTATTTCTCATTATTTTACATGTACGGTATTTCTGATAATTTTACCTGTATCAAAGTTTAAAGAACCAATTTCTTCATGAGTGGTAATATTTAACAATTGTCAAATATCTGAATCTATACAAAATATTTATTTCATTTGTATAAATTCTGAAGAGCTTCAAGCACCTGCTACAACTGACTGCTTAAAGAAAGTATCAACATTTTCTTTTCAGTGTTTCTCCTGCCTCAAACCAATAGACACTTCCTATGTGCTCTCTGAGAGTGTTTCTGGCACTAGATTAGACTTGCAGGAAGATCTTCCAGACTTTGGCTCCACATCAATTACTACGGTCAATGATTAAAGTTAACCACTTGAAGGAAGATCTTCCAGATTTTTGCTCCACTTCAATGATGAATACTAACCCAGGAACAACATCTAGATATAAGCTCACCTTCAACGACTGCCATCAATGGTTAAAGTCAAAGTTAATCAAGAAAGTTCTTCCAGAATTTTATCTTAATTTTAATCACTGCCATCAATGATTAAAATTAACCAAGAAAGATATTCCACACTCTGGCTTAATTTCAACCACTGCCTTCAATGATTTAAATTAAATTTAACCCAAGAAGATCATACAGATTCTGCCTCAGCTTTCAACCAATGCTATCAAACAATATCACACAAACTTGACTCCATTTTTTTCCACTGCCAGTGATGAGAAGAATCAATTGTTGATCTGTTTACTTGGAAACTTGGAATGAAGATCATCTTTATTTAAGGAAAAAATTATTTTTGCAGATCTGTATTTCTATTGTGACCTCATGTGGGTGCTGATTTATAGAACAATTAATATGTTGAATTTATTAGGATAATTATTAGTTCTTATTAATTATTTTTGACAGGGGGTTAAATATCTGTTTATAGGAAATGTAATATAACTATCAATTCTTATTTATTATCTTTGACAGGATGTTAGAATCTGCTTAGAGTAAATGAGAATTTTTTTTTTTAAATTAAAAGTATTTATTGAATGTTTGAAAATCTGAATTTGAAAAAAAATTATTAGAAGATACAAATATAATTTTATGTATCAAATATTTTGAGGTGTAAGATTTTTTGAGACAGCTGAGGTATTGATGAAATTGAAACCTACCAGGCTGTAAAAAAAATTTTTTCCATGGGGTCATATTTCCATAGAATCCCAATTTCTGTTCAATATGCAGGTAGAAAATTACGCAGATTTCTTGGATTACCATTGTATGTCTTCAATGTACTTTAGTCCGCTGTGACAAATTTTAATGGAAAATTTGTAACTTCATACATAGTGAGACTTAATCTGATGCGGAAAGAAGTATGTCTTCAGCATTGAATTACAGGTACATATTAATCTGTAAATCTAATTTTATTTGTTTGACCTAAATATTGAATCGATTAGATTCTATAATATTGTATTATAAGGAGAAAATATTCATAACCATAATGGTTATTTGTTACACCTATGTCATTGATGCTGACTTTGGATATACATGTATATGTTAATCCAAATATAGCTATCTAAATCCATACAGGATAAAAATGAGGGTGGTATATATGCCAAATGTTGCATAAAAGATGGTAGATTGGTGGTGGTGTTAACATTGAAATATAGGATACGTTGTTATACATTCTTACAGCTCCTCTTCTCTATGAAAGCCAAATGCATTGTGTTTTGCGGCTTTTAGGGTTTTTTAAAGTCCTGCTTAGCTGAATGTTTTTTTCTAACCTTTATAAGCAGAAATCAACCACATTACTCGAGGAAACATTATAATTCAAAGAGTCTAACATTTTGTGGATTTCGAATAACAACTGAAATAAATATTGAAAGTGAAAAATTTACCCTATAATTTAAAACGATTTAACAGTAAACGGAAGCAATATTTGCAAAGAACCCTTATGATTTAAGATTATATTGATGTGAAACAAAAACGAATTCTGATGTTGAAAGTAATCTCACATTCCAAAAACTATAAAGATATTGTTGACAATGGTGCTTGATATTATGATATTTATAGCAATATTTTTATACAATATATTATTATATTAATAAATATATTTTTCAACTTATATATTTCTAATGTTTGGGCATTGCTTCTGTTATTAAACCAAGAATACATTTATAATAGCAAACTGATTTTTTACCACTCAAGGTATTGATGTTGTTTTGTTACATGGTTATTTTTTTTATATGTATACAAAAGAGTATCTATAACATTTTGCAGTGATTACTTTAACCTGTGAAGATGCTTGACAGTTTTTAGCTCGGCGCTGTACAATTAATAATCTGGAACCAAAAATGCAATCACTACTTTTTGCTCATTGTTCATGAAGATCTCCATACTATCACATATACTTTTGAGTCATTTATTTACTTATTTACTTTTGTTTTGTTTGTTTGTTTGTTTGTTTGTTGTTTGTTTTTTAGCTTTTCTTATCTTTAAAATTAAATGATTTTTGTGATTTTTTTTATATTTTCTCTAAAATATTGATTGATATTGTAACTGTAATAGACTTTTGCCAATTAAGTACATTGTTATTATAGTAATATATTTTCCTTACCACTTATACTGATTTGATGCTATGAACTTTCCTTGTTTTGATCTGATTGTACTGTTTATTTTATTTTGTTGTTTTGCTTTTTTTTTAAATTCATTATACAGACACACACATCATTGTAATTTTCTTTTCTTCATAGTTTTATAAGCAAGGTGGACTTAGTGCATTGTAATTAGATTTTTTTTAAGAATAAGATTTTTTTTTTTTTTTTAGAAGATTACTAGAAATCGTTTCTTTCATAAAAACTATTTGAAAGCATAACTCATTTCCAAATAATTTGATTGAATTTTAAAGGATGATATTGCTTTGACAAAAGTGTTAAGGCTTCATGAAAGCTCTGTAATATAAACACAACAGGTCAAGATAAATCATATATTTTCCAAAAGGGTGTTGCTGTGTTTGTAAACTTTGGAGAGTGGTAGTGGTTATATAATAACTTGTATTACAGAAGGTTTCAGTATATTTATGTTTTAACTATGTGTACTCTAATCTGGTAAGTAATGTCTCTCCAACCTTATAGGTATTTAATATATACATCTGTTATTGGTTAGAATCTCTTTTCATAAAGGTGCTTTGAATTTTGTTTGTTTTTACATTTGTTTTATGCAATTGGGAATTGTACCATGCCTAATCTGGAAGTTTTATCAAAGATTCTTATCAATAATAATGTCAAACCAGATGAATAAGAAATTACATGTAACTGTCTTCTCTAGACGGTATTGTTTCACTTGGATAAATTTTGATGCAATTTCTTAAATCCAAAATTTCACTCAGATGATAGAAAAACTAAGTTAAATCACATCGTACTGATTAGTATTTTATCACCGAACTAAGTTAAATCACATCGTACTGATTAGTATTTTATCACCGAAATAAGTTAAATCACATCGTACTGATTAGTATTTTATCACCGAATACAAATTTGTATACATGTACCTTCTAAATATAATGATTATTGAGATATTTTTTTTTAGGTATTTAATGTATAGTATCTATAAAAATTCACATGTTCACCAACCTCCGACAACTTGTGCGTATTTGCATTGCTTTGGGATGCTATGACAAACAACACCTAAATAAAAAACGTATGTTTAGGTTAAAGTAAAAGGTATTAGTTTAGATACATGTAATTACAAAGATACATGTAAGTAATAGATGTAAGTTACGCTTACAGGACAGACTATGCATTGAACCATTTTTGATCAACAATATACACTGAGCATGTTTTTGTGTAATGCATGTTCATAAAAAGAATGGATACAAGGTTAATAATTCAATGTAACGTCGCCATCACATAATGATCTTTATCCTTGCTAATGATATATAAATCACAGAAAACGCGATTACTGACGACTGTAGTAGGAATAAACCTTAAAACACCATTTTTCTTCAGTGGTTTTAGAATATTTCCAACACTCTCCTATATTTTTATGTTTATTTTTTCCCAGGTTCTTATTTTGATTTGATATCCTGTGTCACAGGTCTTATTTCCGAGCTTATTTTTACTTTATTTAAGCACCTCAAATCAATTGTAATGAAAACACCAGTTTCAACAACAAATAAAGTGAATTAACCTTGTATAGACAAAAATATAAAATATAATAGCGGTTAGTTCCTGCCTTGTAGAAAAATCCTAACCTACCTAACGCTAAAAAATCACCCCTAAATTAGCGTTCAGAAACGCTAGTCCAACCTAGCTGTGGGAAAAGGCCTAGGTTAATTTCGTAAAACCCCTTATCATTTAGGAATATCATGAAACTTAATTCCTATAAACTTTTAGAATTAAGGCCTAATAGATTGAAGAGGAGCAATAGACGACAACTTAGTCAAAATTTCTAATATCATGATTTCTAGTGGTGCAACCTATTAAATACCTAATAAACCTTTTTTTTTTAGTTTAAATTGAGAAAACTTACAGCAAATTAATGCTTCCCCACGTATCTAACAATTACAAGGGTTAATATACTTCGGAATGAAAAAAACTTTAAGAAAAAATCTATAGTGAATACACCCCAAAGGAATGAACTTTTACTGAAATTAGTAACACCCAAAATGTTAATTTCCGTATTTCTAGCCAATAAGTATTAAGATACTCAAACCTAAATATCACCCGAGAGATTTGATGGAAATAACACGTGCTAGTATCTAAAAAATAAACAAGCAATTAAGGGGAATGAGGTAGTGTACTTATATACATATGAACACATTAATAATTAAATGGTATTTAAAATATAAGAATAAATCAATTCCTGTTATACGAATGATGATGTACCAACATTATTGATCATATGACCTACATGTACAATGAAGTTATTCATTCCTGATGATATTGATCTTAAATACGTACTTTGGCTGTAAAAACATCATTGGAATGATGTCGTTTACATCTATGAGTTTTATTTTCATAGCTGCAACAATATATTCGAGAAGTGGTGTAAATCAGATGGGGATACTGAAAAATTCCAAGGAACTTTTGGAAAATTTGAAATCACAAAATTTTACCAAATTCAAGAGCATAAAAACTTACGACTTTTCAACTCTATATTCCATTCCCCTCGATAGATTAAAGTCCAGGACCGGGTTTCACAAAACTATCGCAAGATTTGTCCTAAGATAGATCTTACAATAATCTTAAGATATGACTTATGACAATCATAAGATTTGTCACTGCTGTTTCACAAAACTATCTTAAGTATAAGAAATCTTAAGACAAGTCTTAAGACAAATTCCATTCTTCAATATTACAGGGAATTTTTTTTTTAAATATGTTTGCACGAAGTTTAGTTGTCTTTCTAAAACTTTCTTTGAAATATTGAAATAATAGTGTGTCATAAAAACTAAATTTGAATTTCATCACAAAAAAATCATTGAATAAAATTTGCAAGTAATGAATGATTTTAGCAATGAATCCTTTTGAAACACCAAATCGTTTTCAAAGTTCGTTCATAAAATTCGATGAAGGTGTGTATGAAACGCTTCAACTACTGCAACAAAATAACAATGCTAACATACGAAGAAGAGAAACGAAAGAACAATTTCTAATCAAAATTTTACAGTTTCAGCTGCTATTAAGAAAGCATGTACAAGCAGCATCAAATGTTACAGCAGTAATTATATTGAATTTTCATACACATTCTGGTGGATTAATGAGGGATACCCCAAGAATTAAAACTATTTGATTTTCATCTTATTTTGTAAGATTGAAGGAAATGTTTACTTTCAAATTCCTTTAAAAAAATCACAACAATGTAACAAAATAAATTAAAGTAAAACGTCTTAAAATGAAGGGTAGCTACTTAGAAGTTCGATTTTTTTTTACTTTCATGGGCGGGACTTATCCAATCCATAAAAATGCTTATATTTCGTATTTTTATTTATTCAAAACATATTTACTTAACATATCAATAAATAGACTGCATGTATCTCGAATTACGTTAGCCATTTTAAAAATTGCATAAGTTAGCAGTGCTTGGTCATAAAAATTGTGATGTTCTTGCGGGGTATTGAATTCAAAATTAAACAATTTTGAATAAAGTTATACAATGTATATCATATCTGGATCATACATACATGTACATATATAATACATGGCCTTAAGAAGCAATTTCGGGGGGTGTAATTTCAGTTGGGAGGGGTCAAAACAACAAAAAAAGGAAAATGCCTTGAAATGAATAAAGTGGCACAAACATAAAGAACGTTTATTTTATGTTTTCTATCGTATATTTATTGGCAAATTAATTTTTTTTTGAGGGGGGGGGGTAGTCTGGTCATTATTCCGACTGGCCTGATATAGTCCAAAGGATTGTTCTATCTCTAAAAACTGTTTTCTTTAAATATCCTTCGGTTTTTAGCCAAAAAATATACTGTCTCCAGTTTCTTTTAGACTTAAGACAGGTATCTAGTTGTCTTAAGATTAAGATAGATCTTAAGATTATCATAAGATTTGACAGTTTTGTGAAACGGCTATGGTGCAATCTTAAGATAATTTTCAATCTTAAGACAGATCTTAGTCATAAGATAGTTTTGTGAAACGGGCCCCAGGCTTTTTGTCATCATTGACAGCTGCTTTTTCATTAAAAATGGAACTCGTAAATTTACTAACCTTGTCATTGGTCATTTGCAAAATTATTTTGTTAAAAACATTCTGATTGTACTCACAAGTACTCTGAAGTTGATATTAAAAAGATGCATGAGTTTCTGATTGACAATATCTATGTGGTTTTTGGAGACCAGGTTTTTCAATAATGTGTTGGAATTTCCATGGGTACCAATTGCACCCCGTTATAAGTAGATCTATTTTTGTATTGATATGAAGCAGAATTTCTTCCAAATCTTATACAGGAGAAAAAGAAAACACTTGCTGTGGCCTTTAACTCGAAATTTAGATCTATCGAAGGTGTATTATCAATTAACAATAGTTATTTCGATACATATGTCTACACGATATATCCCAGTGAGCTTGATCCCACATAGTCTGACACATCTGTTTCAAATTTGTATATCTTACCAAACAAAAGACGTTAATGGTAATCTAACAACAAAGCTTTATGATAAACGTGTTGACTTTAACTTTTCAATCGTCAACTTTCCCTTACTTATGCAGCAATATTCCCTCATCAGCTGCATATGGGGTTTATATCTTTAACTTTTCAATCGTCAACGTCCCTTACTTATGCAGCAATATACCTTCATCAACTGCATATGGGGTTTATATCTCTCAGTTGATTTGATACGCAAGACCATGCTCTACGTATGAACAATTTCTAAAACGAGGTAAGTTATTGACAAACAAGTAGATGAAACAAGAACATCAACAGTTTCCTTTAAAGTCATCATTTTGTAAGTTCTATGGTCGATACAATGAACTTGTCAGCAAATAAATCTATCATTAAGTCAAATGCTTACTGACGTTTTTCATTCTAATTGTTAGGCCATTATTTACGTACTTAATTGTCGACGGATTTTTTTCCGTTATTTCCCGATCGTGACAAGGAGCACACTGCGGATGTGACTATTCGGCAGGGGATGCTCACTCCTCCATGGCACCTTATCCCACCTCTGATATTATTAGAGGTCCGTGTTTGCTCTGCTCCTGATTTGTATTGTTTGAATGGACTTTGAACTTGAAAACTGTTCGTTATCTACAGATAAAATTAGTTGAGGTAATGTTGAAATATTTTTTCATCAAGTTTCGTAGCATCAGCTTATTTTTTTCATGTGCACTCGTAACCCACAGTGCAATTCAAAACCCAGAATTCTTATTGCACATTTAGAGGGCACCACCAATCACCATTCAAAAGACGATTTGGCTATTGCATACAAATGTAAGAGGAGTTCAGGGAACCAGGTTTATGTAAAATAACGACACTTTTTGAAAATAAAAAATTCCAAAATCGTATTGCACATCTTCAGAACACCACCAATCATATTCCAAAAGATGGGTGTGTTACTGCAAGAAATGTTTGAAAAGCTCACGGAACCAGATTTTGTAGAAAACGTCATTTTTTGACCCCCACCATCGGCCCCAGGGTGAAAAATCGAATATCCAAACCTTATTGCACATGTACAGGACACTATATTTCAGTATCTCGAATCCTCGGATTATTAACATGAAATATGTAGATAACGAACTGTATTCAAGCTCAAAGTCCATTTAAACAATAAAAATCGGGAGCAGAGCAAACAAGAACCTCAGGAAAAATCAGAGGTGGGATCAGGTGCCATGGAGGAGTGAGCATCCCCTGTCGACCGTTCACACCCGCCGTGTGTTCCTTGTCATGAACGGGCAAAAGGGAAAAAATCCGAAGAGAATTTAGTGTGTAAATAATGGCCAAACAATTAGTTTGATAAATGTCAGTTAGCATTTGACTTAATGATAGAATGTATTTGCTGACAAGGTCATTGTATCGACCATGAAGATGCGAAATAACGACTTCAAACGAGACTGTTGATATCCTTGTTTCCTCAACTTGTTTGTCATAGCTTACTTCGTTTTAGAAATTGCTCATAAGTAGAGCATATCAAGCTAGAATGTTCATCACTTTTTAAACTTTTGTTGGTTAATATTCCTTATATATTGTGTGAGCACAAGCTACATAGAATTTATATTATCACATCAGTCCACATATTGTTTAACTTTTTGATGATCCCTCGTAGATACGAGGGTTGTTCGGAAAGTTCGTGGACTACCGTCATAGCTTTTTTACTTAACGTCATATTCTATCCAAATATGGAAGAAATATTTCAACAGTAAATTCAAATGATGTGTATGAAAATTTTTTAAAATATCGTGGTTTATTTCAAACTTATTTAGACTTAAATAATGCAAAAATTGGACCACGGAGCAAGTCAAAATTTTGTAATTTACAATCAAGACACTAAATAATGTCTGAAGTCATATCTTACGTAAAATGACACAAAAACGGAAAAATTCTATGCGTTCAAATTAAGAATTGTTTCATCGTTTCTGATTCCAAATTATGACTTAATATTTTGTTTCGTTGAAAAGAAATCAGTTTCAGAAGATAGGTAGTCCTCATTGAAATAGGCAAAAAAGATGACGTCGTTGAACGTCTTGGAGCAGCAGTTAACCATACAATTTTGTGCTGTACTCAAGAAAATTCAAAAAAAAAAAAAAAAAAAAAAAAAAAAAAAAAAAAAAAATCGTCAAAAGCGAGCCATGCATGTGTATGTAAATGGTACAAGCGGTATTTGAATGATAGACTACTCGGCTTAGACGATGGTTATCTGTGAGAAAACGGATTATCCATAAAAATTTTATCAAAAACATTGAAAAGCTAGTAACGTCATGCTAAGAGTTTGGCGCTTCACAGATGCTGATCTTGTGAAAGCACTTGTGCAGTGAAAAAAAATATAACATTAATAAACAAAATGATGCTACTAAAACAATTGTTAGCAAAATAGATTTAAAGTGGAAGATAAACATTTTTAATGGGTGCACTGGTATTGGGCAATACCGTGTGAAATGTACAGGGATAGTATTTTAGAGATCCTCAGTATGTTTTTGACGTTACAGTGTTGTTTAGTTTGCTCCGTGGTTACAAAACATGTTGATGTTAAAATTAAATAACAGGAATTCTATTAAAACACATGGGATGAAACTTCACACTTAAACAAAATAAATATTTTTACATATGATAATGTGCTCATTTAAATTTCTTGAAGATAGTATAACGAAAATTGGCATTGTCCACGAACTTTCCGAACAACCCTCGTATATAATCAAACATATGAACCTTAAAGGAAAACAAGTTGTTTAGTATACAGAATTTATTATTCAGAAACTGCAACGGAAGCTGTCATGACCAATTTCTACAAAAAAAATTGTTTCTATGACAATGTCAGTTAGTTAACCTTTAAGTTACCAATGTGACATAACAAAGTGTTGTCAGTATTTCAAAATTTTCATTGTTTAAATTTTGACTGACATTTCAAATTCCACAGTCTTAAGTTACTTTTTTTTTACATTGACGTATATTGGAATTCAAGATAATTTTACAAATTTAGCATCATTATTATGATAATACTAATTACTAATAAAAAGTATTTGAATTGTTTGCACCGACTAACCAAAATCCCAATTGGTAAATAAGATATATGAATTATATTGACAGTTTTTACATGAGAGAAACTAACATAGTGCTTGACCTGGTCGGACCTATCACTGACATAGAGCCGAAATATAGATGAAATACTGACGATTGACGTAACGTAATATCAATCAATTCACTGACATACATGAAATATTGAGATGACGAACAGTATTCAAGCTCAAAGTCCATTAAAACAATACAAATAGGAAGCAGAGCAAAGACGGACCTCCAAAAACGGAGGTGGGATCAGGTGCCATGGAGGAGTGAGCAACCCCTGCCAACAGGTCACACCTGCAGTGTGCTCCTTGTCATGATCGGTAAATAACGGAAAATCGGTAGACAAATCAGTGTGTAAAAAATGGCTCAACAATTAGTATGAAAAAACGTCAGTCAGCATAGGACTTAATGATAGATTGTATTTGCTTACAAGGTCATTGTATCGACCATAGAACTTATGAAATGATGACTTTAAAGGAGACTGTTGATGTTTTTCTTTCATCAACTTGTTTGTCAATAACTTACCTCGTTTCAGAAATTGTTCATACGTACAGCATGGTCTTACGTATCGAATCAACTGAGAGTTATACACCCCATATGCAGGTGGTGAGAGTATATTGCTGCATAAGTAAGGAAGTTGACGATTGAAAAGTTAAAGTCATCACATTTATCATAAAGCTTGGTTGTTAGATTACAATTGACGTCTTTTTCTAGATAAATATCCAAATATGAAACAGATGTGTCAGACTCTGTGGTATCTTTTATTTCAAACTCACTGGGATATCTCGTGTCGACATATGAATGGAAATATCTATTGTTAATTAATAATACGTTGTCGATATATCTTAATGTCGAGTTGAAGGTCACAGCAAGAGATTTATTTTTCTCATGTATAAGATTTTGAAGAAATTCTGCTTCATATCAATACAAAAATAGGTCTGCTAACGACGGGGTGCAATTGTATCCATGGGAATTCCAACAGATTATTGAAAAACCTGATCTCCAAAAACCACATAGATATTGTCAATCAGAAACTCATGCATCTTTTTAATATCAACTTCAGAGTACTTGTGAGTACAATCAGAATGTTTTTAACAAAATAATTTTGCAAATGACCAATGACAAGGTTAGTAAATTTACGAGTTCAATTTTTAATGAAAAAGCAGCTGTCAATGATTTAAAAAAACCTGGACTTTAATTTATCGTTGGGAATGGTTGTATATAAAGTTGAAAAGTCGTATGTTGTTGATTTTGGTAAAATTTTGTGATTCCAAATTTTTCAAAAGTTCCTTGGAATTTTTATGTATCCACATGTGATTTACACCACTTCTCGAATATATTGTTGCACAGAACTACTGAAAGAAAGAGGCTTGGTAGAACATTAACTAGAACCCGCTATTTATCTTTGTAAGGATTTTTATGAAGTTTTGGAATCCATTATAGATATGGTAACTCAAATTCGTTTTGGTTGCTGGGAATATTAAAAATATTCCAAACTGACATATGATTTTGAAGAATTTCTTCCTTAGAAAGGGAGCTAGGGTGTAAATTGGATTGCCATTTGTAGAATTAAATCCCAGTTCTTCTTAAATACAATTAAAATAATGAGCCTTACCAAAGACAATGTTGTTACCTGCTCTGCTCTGGGACCAGTACATACTTATCGTGTAGTCTATACATAAAGAGACAAAAAAAAAATCGAAAAACAAAACAAATCAAAACAAAAAAATCTACAACATCCCAATAATAAATACAATACAAACAATAAAAAAAATTCTATATAACATGTAAGTAACACAAGTTGCTTCATTTTTTTTTTCAAATTCTGTTGGAAAATGAATATGAAATAATTTAAGTTTTGCAGTGAAGTCAAGGATTCATTGAATTGAATAATAAAAACTATAGTCTGAGGGAAAAAAAATTGAGCATTGTCTCACAAGTAGGGTCTAAAATTTGGGTATGCTTAAAAGAAAAAGGAACAAAACTACTCCTATAGAGGAAGAAAGACCTGGAGCTGTAGAATCTACCGTAGTAATGGTGGGTTCAGTAGTAGTGGTTGTTTCTGGTGAAGTTGATGAGTCCATTGCTGTTTCAGTTGATGTCTTTGACGACATTGTAGAATCTACCATAGTGGCGGTTGATTCAGTGGTAGTCATTGTTTCTGGCGAAGTTGATGACTCAAGTGCTCTGTCAGTCGATTTCATTGTCGACATTGTAAAGTCTACCATAGGCGTGGTGGATTCAGGGGTAAGGGTTGTTGCTTTGGAAGATGATAAGTCAAATGCTTTTTGAGTTGATGTCATTGTCGATTTTGTAGACGCTACCATAGTAGGGGTGGATTCCGTGACAGTTTTTGTTTGTGGTGAAGTTGATGATTGAAGTGCTCTTTCAGTCGATTTCATTGTCGACATTGTAGAGTCTACGATGCGAGGGGTGGATTCAGTGGTAGGGGTTGTTGCTTTGGAAGTTGATAAGTCAAATGCTTTTTGAGTTGATGTCATTGTCGATTTTGTAGACGCTACCATAGTAGGGGTGGATTCCGTTACAGTTTTTGTCTGTGGTGAAGTTGATAATTGAAGTGCTCTTTCAGTCGATTTCATTGTCGACATTGTAAAGTCTACGATACGAGGGGTGGATTCAGTGATAAGGGCCGTTGCTTTGGAAGTTGATAAGTCAAATGCTTTTTGAGTTGATGTCATTGTCGATTTTGTAGACGCTACCATAGTAGGGGTGGATTCCGTGACAGGTTTTGTTTGTGGTGAAGTTGATGATTGAAGTGCTCTTTCAGTCGACTTCATTGTCGACATTGTAGAGTCTACGATACGAGGGGTGGATTCAGTGGTAGGGGCCGTTGCTTTGGAAGTTGATAAGTCAAATGCTTTTTGAGTTGATGTCATTGTCGATTTTGTAGACGCTACCATAGTAGGGGTGGATTCCGTGACAGTTTTTGTTTGTGGTGAAGTTGATAATTGAAGTGCTCTGTCAGTCGATTTCATTGTCGACATTGTAAAGTCTACGATGCGAGGGGTGGATTCCGTGATAAGGGCCGTTGCTTTGGAAGTTGATGGGTCAAATGCTTTTTGAGTTGATGTCATTGTCGATTTTGTAGACGCTACCATAGTAGGGGTGGATTCCGTGACAGGTTTTGTTTGTGGTGAAGTTGATAATTGAATTGCTCTTTCAGTCGATTTCATTGTCGACATTGTAAAGTCTACGATACGAGGGGTGGATTCAGTGATAAGGGCCGTTGCTTTGGAAGTTGATAAGTCAAATGCTTTTTGAGTTGATGTCATTGTCGATTTTGTAGACGCTACCATAGTAGGGGTGGATTCCGTTACAGGTTTTGTTTGTGGTGAAGTTGATGATTGAAGTGCTCTTTCAGTCGATTTCATTGTCGACATTGTAGAGTCTACGATGCGAGGGGTGGATTCAGTGGTAGGGGCCGTTGCTTTCGAAGTTGATGGGTCAAATGCTGTTTGAGTTGATGTCTTCGTCGACATTCTAGAATCTACGATAGTAGTGGTTGATTCTGGTGAGGTTAATGATTTCAATGCCGTTTCAGTTGATGTCATTGTCGATTTTGTAGAATCTACCATAGTAGTGGTAGTCATTGTTTTTTCTAAAGTTGATGTGTCTAATGCTGTTTGAGTTGATGTTACTGTCGACTCTGTGGCTAAAAATTGAATTTTAGCATGTTTTATCACATTTCAACCTAATGTTCAATGGTTTTAAGTTTTCTTGATAGCTCAGAAACTTTTTTCAATATTTCGTTTAAAAGTAACAATGGCATCAGCATTGCCAGAATACCAACTGAATGACATTTTAGTGCATTTTTGTAATATGGATGAGGTCTACAGTAATTTATTTAAGTTCATATAAATTTATTCATTTCAATGTAGTTTAATAGTAATATTAACAGGTATGCAAATGTATTAAAGATGCCGGCTTTTGTATCAACCTTTAAAACATTATATTTCAGGCATCTTTTCCTGTTACAGCATGCATTAATGTAATTTTTTTTTTGGATTTAACTGGCTGATTTGGATTCATACTTATAAATTCAAGATATGCTAATCCCAATAACATTAATGCTATAATAATGCCACAAGTGTGTTTTACAATTATTTTACTAAATTGTTAATACATGTCTTTTATGCCTGATATCAAATGATCAAAACTGAAAGAATACAATTTGCTTCTTTGAACAAAATACTAAGAGACATACTAACTTGAGGTCACTGCTAGCGGGACAGTTACAGCGACTGCTGAAAAGAAAGGAGACCAATTGGTAAAACACATATAAAATTTATTATTTCCTATGTAACTTGAAACACGAGATTTGATTGGTTACAAAGTCGGGTGCATTGTGACGTCACTTTTTTTTTTTACCCCCGGCTCTAGTCGGATGTACAGAAAAATACACAGCTGGTAAAACACATATAAAAAATAAACGAATTAATGAATTAACATCTTTCAATTATCATATATTTTTGAGCTGAAAATCATAAATACATTATTCCTTCTTCTGTTCATAAACAAGTACTGTGGAATCATTTTAATTCTTGGGGGTCAATGTTCGTGGGCAAGCAAAATTGTACTTGTTCGTGGGGACGTAATTTCGTGGGTTACCCGTTTATAAGTTAACTTCAATGAATCAATGTGTTTACAAAATAAACATTCGTGGGGATGTTAATTCGTGGGTAGGGATGACGAAATCCATGAACATTGGTCCCCCACGAACAATGATGATTCCACAGTATGTTATAAACAAGACTTTAGACAGTTAGTTCCCTTGATAATGAATGGCGTTTGTGTAATAAAAATCATTTTTCTTTTGAAGCTATATAAATCATATAAAGTAAATGTTAATTGAAAAATGCAATGACACATATTTTTTTCATTAGAAATTGATTTTATTGACATATACATGGCATTGCAGTCCCTCTCACAAGACAGAGATGAAGAGTGTTAAAATTGTTCTATTATTGGCCCCAAATAAGGTATCAAAATCGATATAACAACACCTCACTAAACACTGTAAAAATTGTTCTATTATTGGCCCCAAATAAAGTATCAAAATCGTTCTTACCAAACCTCACTACACAATGTAAAATTTGTTTTATTATTGACCCTTAAGCATCAAAAAGCGTATTTACAAAACCTCACTGCACACTGCATAAACTGTTTTATTATTGACCCTACATTCTGTAGTTTATGTACACAAAGTGTTCAGTGTTTGCAAGATGTCCCCTATTTTTCGTACCTCCTAGCTGTAGCCATAGTTTATATTTTTATTAGATTGACGGCAATTATATGGTGATATGGACACTACCTGGTTTTTATCGGTTTTTGATACCATGATTAGGATAAACACAGAAATTTTAAAATTGCGTCACCACTCATCTGTCTCCGATGCCATCTACATGAAATTTTTAGGTACATGTATAATGTAAATTTCTTTTCTGATTTTATTGATATTAATTTGAATTTCATGTTTTACATATCAGAAAAAGAAATGCAATTGCGATTTTAACATAAGTAAATTATCCCGGATTATGAGCGTCTGACAGACCATATCGACCTTTAAATAGTCATATTTTATTACTATGAACGATTTTCATTCACTATTTTAATGAGCATTTGATAAATGATAGTCAAAAAAAATTATTAAATATTGGTTGAATGATTACAAAGTCATAACCATTGTTTATGACTTTTTGGAACAACCCTCGTATCTTGTGAAAAGGCAAACTTTTTATTTTGACGGGAATAAAATTGATACCTTATGGAAGAACAAGACACTTAAAATTGATAATTTGACTCGCGTAAAAGAAGTAATATTTCCTGATGATGAAAAAAAAACAAACTTCAGACTTCTTTTTCATTGATAAAATTTACTATACATTAAATTGTGCTGTAGAAAAATGAATGATTTGAAGAAAACGGCACAAAGCGATACTCACAAAGGAAACAGAAATTAAATCTATTATTTTTCTATGTCTAATAAATTACTTTATGTGATAAAGGTCTCAAATAGCCCCTAAAATGAACACCTGAATTTTACTAAATTGGTTCACTTTGCACAGCTATACAGGTGAAGTTTTTTTTTTCATGGTGTTCAATTTGATCTAAATACTTTCAATTTAGAATTATGACATCACAAAATTCATCCTTTTTAGCATATTTTGTAAAATAAAAAATAATGCTAATTCTCAAGCAATTATTGTTCAAGGAAATTTTAAGCGCAAGCTAGAACAAACATTATATTTACACCAAAGAAGTATCTAATCAAGACTAATTACTGACAGAAAAGCTTGCTTGTTTAAAGCTGTGCTCAATGTTTTCCATAAGATGAACATGAAAAAAAATGCACATTTTTTGTCTCATTTTAATTGGATTGCAAAAATATCAACATTTCTGATGTCATTTACTGTCAAAGAGTGAAACAATAATGGAACAAATGGATGGAAGAAGCATCATTGTAATGTATACTCTTCTGTAAAATAACAAAACAATTTAACATACCTGAATCACTTTAAAAATGTTAATTAATGCCGACAAAAATTGACTCTCAACATGTATATAATCCGTTTAACATCAATAATAAAACTTAACAAATTACAGGAAGGGTAACATGTATATATATTTCAAATATGCATTTTGATTTACCAGTACCAATTGCCCCCCCCCCCCCTCCCCCGATCATTTTTTCATAGCTTTATCCTTACCCGAGGATGTCAGTTGCTTCTAAACTGTTAAACTGTTAAATATAGCATGCAAATGATGTGATTAACACATGAAATATATGGAGATAACGAACAGTATTCAAGCTCAAAGTCCATTAAACAACACAAAATATGAGCAGAGCAAACACGGACCTCCAAAACATCATCCCTCCATGGGATCAGGTGCCATGGAGGAGTGAGCATCCCCTGCCGACCAGTCACACCCGCCGTGTGCTCCTTGTCATGATCGGGAAATAACGGGAAAATCCGTCGACAATTCAGTGTGTAAATAATGGTCTAACAATTAGTATGAAAAACGTCAGTCAGCATTTGACACAATGATAAATTGTATTTGCTGACAAGGTTATTGTATCGATTATAGAACTTACGAAATGATGACTTTAAACGAGACTGCTGATATTCTTGTTTCATCAACTTGTTTGTCTATAATTTAACTCGTTTTAGAAATTAGATTAACACATTACAGACTTACTTATCCACTGGAACAGAAGCAATATCACTCACCAGCCATAAAGCAAAATTTGATGTTGTATTTTGTCCCAGTCATGGTTAGGCCGAGTTAGGCAATATCAGAAGTCAACAGAGCTCGGGAGGACTTCAGCTGCACAAAGGAAAACATCGGCCTTTTAAGGTAGGATTTCAAAATACATTCAACTTTCTTTAAATAAAATTATCTCTTGAAAGAGCTTCGTTGGATACTGTAGACGTATTTGATTTCGTTTTGAATTACATTTCGTTATTTTTGTGCCTGGGGAAAAACAACGAAATTAAATCCAACACGAAATATTTACGTCAGAAGCTCATTATTTAAAGATAATACACATGTTTCTGTTACTTGTTTTCCATTTTTTTTTTTTTTTTTACAATTTCACACTTTGCAGGTTACCTTGAAATTTTTAAATGGACTATTTGAAGAAGCTAAAACAAATTCATACTTGGATTTTTCAACTGCAGAATACAAGCTAGTGTTTGTGATTATGGATGTTGCCCAGCACAGGCTCTTTAAGCTAAAACGTGTCTCGGAGGATAATTATTCTGATTCAAGCCGTCGGTTCCTTAAACTTAAATTTGCTAACAAAGGAATAGATGCTGTGAATATTAGTAACATTGTTAATAATAAAAAAAAGTTCAGGCTATTTCAATTTGGTCTACACCCTGAGTGTCCTACATATATTCTCAAACTGTTGCTTCCAAACTTTTCTATTATAAACAAATTAACCTTACGGTGCCTAGATAATGAACATCTAAAACAAAATCCTTTTAAGTTTTCTTGCTCTTCTTCTTCTTTCATATACAGTCCCCGCTGGACACTTCATTACTTGTGATGTCAATATAGTTGAAAATGCTAAAAGCAATCATCTAAGAAGGTTCTAAAAACAGGGAGCCCCTAACTTTAAATAGGCGACAGAACTTCATTTCTTTTATGAATTCTGTCAAAGATTATGATAAATGTTGGACTAAATATGAAGGGAAAGACCGGAACACTTTGTCAGAATGGATTAAGTGTTATAGAAATATAGTCAAACCTCGTTATCTCGAACTGAATGGACCGAGAAAAACATCGAGTTATCCGAGGATTGGAGATATCCAGGGTAAACTACTTAAAGAATAAGGGGTTGGGACTTCCAGATCACTTCGACATATCCATGGTATTCGAGATATCAGTGTTCGAGATACCGAAGTTTAACTGTATAAAGTTTAAAGGTAGTATGCAAACTCACTACTTGGAGGTCATTAAGGAATTCGATAGACGAAATGAACAATATGTTATGAATCCAGCAGGCAAGGATTGTAAAAATAGCGTCTTGTAAGGCTGTAAGGCCCAT